ATGTATTTCGCAAATCAGATTAAAAACATCAAAAAGAATCGCGGCAAGTCTCTGAAATAACATCTTGATCCCATAAAAAGCTTTTCTTTTTACGATCCACGAGTATTTTTAATATTAACATAAATCCTCAGAAGTGTGAGAAGAATAATAGGAAAAATGATCTCTTAATATTTGCGGCATAAATTACACCTAAATAAACTCGAATATCTGATTATGTATACAAAGATTTTAATTTCAAAATGTAAATATAAATTTTTAAACATCTGAAACCAATACTCATAATCAATTCTTATATTTCGAACTATCTTAAGTACAGTCTTAATGTCATATAATCACAAAGTCATATTAATGAAGACAATACTTAAGACTTTTGTAATAAGAACGGACTATGAATATTGGTTTTTCAAATACTAAAACTTATCATAGAGCGAAATCAACAAAGTGCTGTCTCACTTTAAGTACAAGTCACATTAAAACGATTGGAGATCTCCTTCGTGTGTTAACACATTAACCTATATATCCTTTCCCATCTTTGTTTCTCAGCAGCTATTCACTTACATTGGAATCTAGCTCTAATGTTTTATTTATCGTATGGAAGTGTGTTACCATCGCATATCTAAGTATACTTTAAAGTTCAACGTACGAACAACGATGTTGCGTAAATAGCCTATCGTGATTCACAAAAGCGACAAATTCCACAGAGGATTCGAAGTGACTTCATTTCTCTATACTCATTTCAGTATAAAAAGTAACAAATGGAACAACTTTGACAATTTGATTCGTTTCTGCGTAATTTACGGCAATAAGTCTAGAAATCTAGCTTCTATTAAAGCAGGATTGCTATTACATATTTATAAAGACAGGAATATATATAAATATTAAAGAAATGCCTGAAAATTATTAAAAAAAAAATCGCTTAAAAGATTTATGGGATAATTTTATCGCATAATTAATTTAGATTCAAGTCAATTTCATTTAAATGTCATATATGACACGACATTTAAATAAAATTGAAGATGAGCCGTGGAATAATTTCATGAAACAGACGCGACTGCTAAAATGAGATCACGTGGGAACGGAACGTTATTGCCACGCCAGCTGCTTTTCAGTGGTCTGTCTGGCACTTATACAAGCACGTGTCTGTATTCCAACCACCGCCATTTTCACCTGGCGAGCACCTGTTACGTTGGTTTTCCCCGTTTTCCTGTCGGAGGCAGGTTTGAAAGTCTATGTGCAGGATGGCGCTCGATTAAGGTAGAATGACGAGAAATCTGGAAGCCTTTCTTGATGATGAGAAAACTAAAAAAAAAAAGATGACCGACCAGACGAGAAACAAGTGGCGACTGTGTCAAGGTGAAGGAGCGTCATCTCCGGCACTAACACCAGCCGGTGAAAGCCGATGAAGTATTTGTCTTGATCTATGAGTAACTGTACATGAATTCGAAAATTGGAGATGACTGAACAGCAAAACTAAAGATAGCACAGTCACTCAACGGATATTAATCCTTCAGATTATATGCATATATCTGCACTGAAAAAAATGTACTAAGTATTGATAAACATTTATTTGAATAGTACTAACTAAATATATACATATTTATTTGATACAAAAACCAATTTAAATATCATTTTTTATTTCTTATAAATAAATGTTTAGTTAGTACTATTTAAACAAATATTTATTAAAATTTGATACATTTTTTTTAGTGTGGCTGATTCACACGCACATTTTCTAATAATATAAGTCTGGAAAAATCGCTGGAGTTTAATATACATCAAATAGCCTTAATGTCTAATCACAAATTTAATATATAAAGAATAATTTTACTGAAGTATCTAAAAATTTAGATAGAGACAAATCTGAAATTAATTTTGTTGGACCAAAATAGTTAGGGGAAACTCAAGTATAATAAGCAATGCTGCGAGAAGTTTTGATATTCTAGTAACCAGTTTGAGCATCTCACATAATTTTTGTCCCACAAAAAGATTTTCAATTATATATTCAGCTAAATTTTTAGATACTTCAGCAAAGTCATTCTCGTTTCACGTAGATTGATATAAAATAAAATAAAATTTAATATAAAATAAAATATAAACAAAATAACTAAACTGTATAACAGAAGAAATAGCGAAGATATTTTAGGTATATTGAACGAAGAAAAAATAAATCTAATAATTTGTCTCTCGAATCTGCAGAATGAAAACCAATCTGGAATTTATCTTTCTCCAAATATTTATAGAGGTCTGGAAAAAAATAAAACATTAGAGTCTTTAAAAATAAATTTTCGCGGAAATATTGGCGATTCATTAATCAGTAATTTCTGACAGAAATAGGGAAAATTTGCGAACTTCTATGACGTCTTTGAGGAACAAGGATAGTTAGACAAACCGCGCTTCTGCATCATGATCAGAAAAAGAAGCGCAAAGATATTGAACACGTGTCTCGCACTTGAAAGACGATGACATCAACATTTGTTACCGACGAAGTATGATCTAAAAAATCAAGAGAGCTCTTTTATTGCCTGTGCAAACGGCGAGACAAAAACCAATTTCGACCATGCGTGATGTTACACTGAATGAACGAAAATCTTCATTGAAAAAGATATACAAATTAGAGAGAAACGGGGAATAAATTAAAAATATGACTAAGAAATAAAGAAAGAGTAATGAATCGAGAATTTAAGAAAGGTGTTGAATTAAAGGATTAAGCATTGACAGTCCTGGGAGACATTAACAATCCCGACAAAATGCAATATGACGACGTAAGTCATTAGAAAATAAGTTAAGGGAATATAACTCTTATAGAAAGTCTCTCGACTGCCATGTCTAAGAACAGGTTTCGTGTGAATCAGCGCAATGTACTTCATGAACAGCTATTTAGGACCTCTGCGTACAACATCGACCCCGGGATACCTGGCTGCGTGCAATTCCTTAGGAAGTCGGCAATTACTTGCTACTTTGTGCATTAATTCCATACACTTTACGTGCGCGTAAGCGTAAATCTGATGCACAGTCGACTGCGAAGACACGCAAATTATACGCGAGATCGATAATCTAATATATATAAATTGACTTTAAAAAGATCAATTAATTCTCGATGAGAATGAATACTTCCTGTGATGAATCTTAATCAAAATGGGAATCTTAAAATGCGTCACGAATGTATTTATAGTAATTATTTGCAAACTATACTTTCTTTCTTGCTTCGCAGAACTTTCAACAAGATACACACTAATTCCTTCCTGTGTACTTTTTTCACAGTTGAACAATTTCTTTAAATTATCGATAATTATCAATGCGATTATAAGTCGGTAAAGAAAAATATAAAAAATTGCTAGCTTGCACGCAATGTAGTCCAAGCGAATAATTATTCGTTTACTCGTTACGTTTTAATTATTTCAACTATATCTACGTTTTTAACTCTTCGAAGGTGATCAAAATCTGTAACACAGCTACTGACGGTTGATCTGTAGGACCCATTTATGTTAATGAAAAAGCACTAATTAATTTTTCAAGAAATCTAAATGACATAACTCAGTATAAAAAAAGATTGTTACTGTTTATTTATTCTTAAGACATGTCTCTTACGACATCTTTTATTCATCACATTATAAGCTACATTATACACATAGTATGAAACTCATTTCACTGACAATGAGATTCAATTTTCCGTATAATTTGTGCGGGGTTCTTTACAGATAATATGACATAAAAATTGAATTGTTTGACATTTCTAATGAATTGTTTGACATTTTTGACAAAAAGATTTAATTGAGCGAGTCCAACAGACCCACCATCACTCTGAAGAGGGTATGAGATACAATTATATACCTTGGAATACTTCCATAATGCAGGACTACAATTTTACAAAGCAGACGCTATTCTATGACGATTAGGTGTCGCTTGGAGCATTTCCACTTTCTTTCATTCTTGACAATGTACGCGTCGATACGCGCGAGTGAATCTCGCGTGTCATGCGACGATGATGGAACAACCGTTACCACGGGGCTCAGTTTTCACTGCCATCAACACCGAAAATTGATCACGATGGAATTTCACGTACAGCGAACACCTCCGAACCGCCAACGAAGCTATCACGGAACCTCTCGACCGGTTTTAATCCTCGTCCTGAGTTTGAAATCGCTTCAAAAGTTATTTGTGTAACGCCGAAGACCGATGATGATCCTTGTTATGTAAATTATCGTTCGCGTTTGAGTGATAGCCGCAAATCATGATTCATGAAAATTAAAGGTAATTTTGAGAATATCGTTCGTCAACTTTGTCGTAAAAATTACTGTAACATAAACTTTCATATTGATGCTGTGAATAATTTAATACTAAGTTTAATCGTACAATTTATCGCACATTATTAATTTTGATACAAGATCTACAGTCAGATAAAAAAACCTGAAATCTGTTCTTCTTTTCCAAGAATGTTCTGAACTAAGCACTCTATCAGTATACAAAAATCAGTATACACTGTTAAAAAAATAGAAATTTGCTTCTGTTACATGTGATGTTAATATTAACTCCAACAGTAAAAATTATATAAACTCCCCATTGCATGATGATAAATCCATACTAATATTTCAAGTATATATCTGGTGCAATAAATCGGAGTAAAACAAATTATTATTATTTTACTTCAACTTATTGCATCAATTCAGAACACTCATTGAAAAGAAACAGGTTTACAGTGGTGACAATAATAAAAGTGACAATTATACAAGTTTTAATATTTGTACATTGTATAATTATTGCAACAATAAAATAGTTTATTCAGTTATGTGTATGTACATTAATGCTATACATAAAACTTGTATAACAGTCATCTTTATAATTACTTACACCAAAATTTTTTTTTCTGATTGCAGAAAAACTTCGTTCCTTGAAATCCAGTTAGATGTCAGAAAAATTACGAGACAGGAAGATTAAATCCGGCTGCAGGGCACCGAGTAAGCAGGAAGCGTTACGAGACGAATACGTAAGTATTATCCTACCTTCTTGTAGAGCTTGATCCAAGTAAGATCGCCCTTAGTGTCGGTGTACTGAAGACCGAAGAACCACACCTCGCGTAATCCAATCGTCTTGACGACCTGGTCAAACAGCTGCTTCCCGGTGGTCGTCTGCTGGATCGCGAATTCCAGCTCCGCGTCCATCGTCGTCACCCTTACGTTCATCTTCGCGGCACAGCACATGCAAACAAAACGACACCATCAGATAGTGCGAGTAAAACGCGTCATCCGGTAGAACCAAATCCAATTGGCGTTATTATGCGATCTCTGGCATCTCTCGAGAAAGAACAAATTCGTTCTATATTATCTTCTACATTAATTTGTTATCTTCTATATTAATTTTTTTCTTTACGATTTTTCCTTAAAACTATTGCTTAAAAAAATATCATATAACTGTATTGTATTATAGAAGACTTTTTCATATAAACATTAAATCTTCTTGAATTCCCTTAATAGAGAGAGAGCTGGCTCCAAATCTCCTAATAATCGGAGAATTATTGCTCATTTCTATCAATATATTATAGATTAATCTCGGTTTAACTCATTCTTCATCTTTTATTAATTCTTAGAAATGCCCGATTCTACAAATGTATTTTAATTTTAATTTCGATTCAACTAATCTTTATCTAGTTCTAAGAATAAGAAAAAGATGAGTAAGTTGAATCAAGATTAAAGTTAATCTATACATAAAAACAGGCATTATATAATGACAATATCGGTATAAAGAAATATTATTCTATTACTAAGAAAATTGATTACTCAATTTATTTTCATTTTAAGTAGCGATTATCTTTAAAAAGAATATTTTCTTGATAATAATTAATCTTAAAATATTTACTAATAATTTTAGAAACCTCATTATGTACTCAAAACAAAAATTTTCTTTTAAAGAATATTATAAAATCGATCGAAAAAGCTACTTCATATAATAAGCAAATCAAATTTATTTTAATTTACTAATCTTGATGAAGTATTAAACTTACTAGCAAAATAAGTATATTTTGAATAAATTTAACGCTTGTGATGAACTTGTAATATTTGCGGATATTTGGGAATTTTTGAAATACTTGAAACAAAGTAATTATTGTATACAGTATTTTTTTGTGTTATTCTTTTGCGTAATTCTTTTACCATGTATAAAATCCGTACTATATGCGCAACAATATAATAATACCTACTACGTATTAAAATATTTGTTAAAAATGATAGAAAACAGAGATTTTTTATTTTCTTTTAATTCTTTTATTTTTTTTAATTTTTAGAATTAGAAAAAGATAAAAATAAATTAAACCGAAATTAAAACCAATCTATATTGACAAAAAGACATTATTTGGCTGATATCTCGTGAAAACAAGAATCTAACTGCGAGATGTTTCTTCGAGGACAAGTCTGTGCCACAAAATTACCGCAATCTCGATATATTTTTATCGCCAATATACAGAATGAAGTTCAAACTAGTCGCACCGGTAACGGCCGGCTTACCATCTTGCCGCCGGCCACCATGTCTGCGAGATTCGTCGAACACCTTCACGGCGCACAGCGAGAATCAAAAATCGCGAGAAAGTCACGTCGCGAAGAGTGAGTACACGGCGAACACACGAGACGCCGAAAGTCAAAACGCGACACAGTACTTAACCGTTCGATAATGTCGATGGTGCAAAATTGACGTGATCGAGCGTAACAACGAGCGATCGAACAAGTTAACGCGGCCTTCAAGCCCGTCTCCGGACAATGGGGCCCGAAATACAAAACACAAATGCAACTGGCGGCTATATCTCCCCTTCCTCCACACGACGCGCAACGCTGCAACGCTTCTCCCGCTCTGAATAGCGCGGCGGCGCGAGCGTGGTCACGTGGGACATGCCGGTCGGCGGCGCGACGACGGCGACCAATCACGGCGCGCCGCGCGCGCCGGCAGATACCGGGTGCCGTGAAAGAAACTGATTCCATAGTCCGCTTGGTTCGACATTTTTCGGAAACCGCCTAACGAATTTGCGAACTGTTGTGAGCGCGCGACCGTTGCAACTCTTCTCGCGCGCGCGCGCGAGCACGCTGATTTGATTGCGTAATTTTTTCCCTTCTGTCGACGGACTTCCTGAGGACGAGGAAGTTCAAACGCGCGCGCGTTTAATTTATTTATCTCTGTGCGGCAGTCAGATTGCATACGTTCCTGGTATAATGCGGAGCGTAGGCGTAGAGAATGTGGCGCGGCTGCATGCTATTCATATCGAGTTAATGCAGGATGTCCAGGCGAACGAGCAGGATCCTGTTTCGCGAGATCGACGTTGTAATGCCCGTATCAGATTAGAGAGAGATTGAATTTAATCACAAGAATTCAATTAGAAGAAACAAAATCAGCATCAAGTTTAATGCGTCAATTTGATTAAATTCAATTTGAATCTCTAATCTGATACAGGTGTAAAGCAAGGTGACCAATTCTATAAAAAGGGGAAAAAGGAATGTTTAAAAAAAATCAACATTAATTGTCGTAATTAAATTTTGACAGATGAATGTTTTTTTATAATTGTTAGTAAAACACATAAACAATATTATATTAATAAATAATTAATATCTTGTAACAAAAATTACATCAAGTTACGAGATCACATTTTATTGTTTTTAAATTACATTTTTCTACTGAATATTATACATACCTATCAAGAGGTTTTAAATAAAAAATCATAAAATTCTTCATACCTTAAGTTAAAAATTATATTTCACATTCTGATTATTTTTAAACATTTGAAAAAGGGAAAATTCATAATCATATCCTTAATTTAGAACGCATTGTAAAGTAGAACAAAGAATTAAAATTTGGGACTGTCCTTCCTATATATATATATATAAAATTTTGGATTGGTCACCTTAGCATAAAATCCATATAACACTATGCATTGAAGATTGAGAATTACGAATTGAGAGTTAGAATTAGACCAGTTAGATAATTTTAATTTTAATTTTCCGTTCTGATTGGCTGGTTCTAATATCCGATTCACAATTCTCAATTTCTAATGAATGTGACATAGATTTAACGTTGTTCGATGGGCGTTTCAATGAAGCTATGTCTTATAGCGTTACTTAATGCTATTTATGAATTTTATTTGCGACATCAGCTATGACATCAAGGTCTGAAATCTCAGGCTGTATTCAGCAGAAAAAGCACTTTGCAACTGCTGTAAGATTCTCTAATATGATTGGTAGATATATCGAGGAAAGAAGGTTGCAAATTAATTAATTATAATAATTTAACATAATTTAACTATAATTTATATAATTTCTTTTTTGAGAATACATTTATAGTTATTTTAACATACAAATATAGTCAATTGTGATATCAATAAGTCGCATTGCTTAAAAATCTTTTCTTAATATTTTTTAGTGTTATATAAATAGTAAATAAATTTAATAAAATAGTTACATCTCTACAATTGCGATCGCATTTAATGAATAAAAATGTTTATTTTATTTACTTTTTATCTTGATACTTTGTTATATTAATATTTAAAATTATCATAATTTATAGCACAATTTTTTCATGTTTGAGAAAAATATATTATTATTACTAATATTATAGCAATAATCATTAAAAAAATAGAGTTTCTAATTATCTTACCTACATAGTCACAAATGTCGAACACTTTTCTTTCAATGTGTATACATTTAAATCCAGTGAGGAATTAAGATAACTAATTGTATCAAAGAATCTTACAATTGCTGCTTTTTCTACTGAACGCAATCAATCTTTGTCGGTTTTCTCGTCCTAATCGCCTGATTACGAATCGCATAGACTTCCGTAAAAACTAGCGTTCTGAAAAAAATTCTTTCCTCTAAAAATAAACGCGTAAAGTCCAAAAGCTTCCGGTAGTCTAGCGAGTAGGACACTCGACGACCTCTTGGATGCGTTAAAGGCCGATGCCTTTCACCTTACGACACACGCGATATCAGCATTCCTTACGTCGCCGACCTATAAACGATGCGAGATATTCATGATTGAAAGAATAAAATGAATAAAATAAGAGAATAAAAATTTTAGATTCGTCTCAGCAATCGTCGGTGCTATTTTCTGCGCGACTTTTAAGGCCCAAACGGTGGAAATAGTTCGGTGTTCGATTTTTTTTTTCTCGAGTTTGTAAAGACTGCAGCATAGACTTTTGCATAATGCATAAAAACAGAGAGAGAAAGAGAGAGAGAGAGAGAGAAAAGGAAATTACTTATCAGCAAATTCTCAAGTCCCTATTACCTTAAATCCTAATTTCGAGAATCCTTAATAATTATATTTGTTCGAAGTCCTTCAGGGCGCAAACTTTTGCATAACGCATAACGCACAATGCGTAAGAAAATGGATCAATCGAAGTCTTTCATTTCTTTCTTTCCCATGAAATAAAAGACTGATTGATTTTCTTATGCTTTATGCATTACGCATTATGCAAAGGTCTGTATTCTTATATACTGAGAGAAATATTTTATGAATAATCAATTATTTTGTTGATGTGTGACTTACATAAACCTTACTTTTTAATTAAAAAATTTTTGTTCTGATCAAAATTTAATTGTTAGAACAAAATTTTTTAATTAAAAAGTGAATTTTTGTAAGTCACATATCATACAAAACATTTTTCTCAGTAACACTGTATAACGCTTAAGACATAAGGAAATCAACTAATCAGTCTTTTATTTCATACATTGATTAGTTGATTTGCTTATGTCTTAAGCCATGATTAGACTAGAGATTGAGATTGGATTGTAATTTAACCAATAAAAAGAAAGAAAAAACAATCTCAAGTTTAGTGAGTTTTGCTTTGATTAATCCAATCTCAAGCTCAATCTCTAGTTTAATCACTTCATATGTTATACAGTGTTACGTAAAAGTCTGTACTGATGCAGCCTTTTATTTTCATTCTAGGGGAAAATAAAGGACTCTGATCGGTTTCTTATGCGTTATGCAAAAGTTTGTGCTGTGATTTTAAATCAGTTTCGCGTTATGTAACGCAACCGCTTCAGTTTTATGCAAATAAGTATCGGTATCTTGATTTAAACAGACGATCGCTCGTTTCACGTAAACAACTTGAATTTTGTGAAAGAGAATGAAACCGCGTTCGATTGTTCGGAGAATTAAATGAAAAAATTTTTTTTTAATCCAACATAGACTTACACGCAACTTGGAAGACCATTGTCTTTTTGTATACATGTCGCGAATTACATAATGAAGTTACATAAAAAAGAAATTCAGTCGTGAATGGCAGACGAGTCACAACACGTCTACATAATGGTTTTATTTTTGCGCACGAGTGTTTATTACCACCGAGTGTAATAAAAGATATCACCTTGCGTAATAATGTTAACAAAAAAAGAAGATAAAACCGTCTTAAAAAAAGCGCCACAGTCTGCAGGAAATAACACAGTTTCTGTTCATCATTCATTGCTTTGCTGTATCGAAAGATGTGTATCTTCTTCCGTTTTATTCGAACATCAAGTGCAAAGTATGCACGTCTATCCGGTCACCAACATCGGTTTAATTACACTAAATTGCAATATAATTCTGTACAACGAGTACCATGCATATATTTCTGATTTACAAAAAAAAGCGACAAAAATTAACTCATAATAGAAACACAGTTTTTATGACGTTAAAAGAACATATGGATTCTTAGGACCTACTAAAATTTTTTATTATTAGCTTTAAAAGTTTGAAAATTTTCAACTATATAAAAAATTGCAACACTTGACTTACAATTATAGTATTATATAATAGCATGAATATAGTACGATAATTCGCTACATGAATTAAAAACTGAAAAATAAAATTATGAAACATAAAATTATTCGAAATCACTAAAAATTAGAAAAATGTCCCAGGATCACCAGGATCCATATGTTCCAGTTACGAGTTAAATTAATCAAAATTACAATTGAGTCTCGTCTTTTCCACTTCCTCTCTGAACGAACGAAACCTTTCGGGAGTTAAGATTAGTTTCACTTTCTACAGATTTCTTAATTTTACCAGCGATGAGTTTATAATTTCTTCTTTGTTTTCTTATTTCATGAAGTCGATTAATTTGACTTTTGAAAAGCTCAAATGTCGCCAACATCGCAAGATGTATGGCCGCCACTAGTCGGTCGAACAAGTCGAATACCTATCTTATCGCAAAAAATTACTGCAAAGTGAATGCGTGACGTTTTAGGTACGCATCGTAAAACTCGATTCGACGATATTCTGCGAATAGTAAAATAATAAAAAAAAAATTGCAACTGTAATATTCGGATAATATATCAATAAGTTAATGAAAGGAAAACTAATGACCTTCCAGGGTCATATCAAATTAGTAATAATCAATTATCGATTTCAAAATAATATAAGGATTAGAAATATAGAGTCTAAAAATTAAAATTGTCGCAACACAAACATAACACTCCAACCCACCAAAAAGTCATCCTCAGTGTGATTAACAAATCATTATATATATTTAATAAATATTTCAAATTTTATAGTCCTTTGTCGAATTGGTTTCCTTGATATAAAGGTCTGGTGAAGATGAAAATGATTTCCTCAATTCTTCCACTAAGATGTCTTGCAATAAGCAATCGCGATTTCAGTCTATTTTCAAAAGACCAACTATTTATGTTTACGTTAAAACTAAGTTAGAACCATACTGCTATATATTGGCTGTCAGGAAAATGTTATAACTAATGTACTCATTGTGAGTGGCCATGTGACAATGAGTCATTGTCACAGGGACACTCGCAATGAATATGTGTGCATGTGTGTATATTTAATACTTGATTGTTATTAATTTAGCACGACCATCCAGCTTGGCTCATTAATCCTCCTTTCATTATGTTATTAATTTACTATCTATTGAGCCTATTATTATCTGAATTATTTTCAAATAATACCTCCCCAGTATTTTTCCTAATGTCTTTCATTTGCTTCTTATCCTTTTCAATTTTTTCACAACAAAATATTGGATTACTGTTAATTATTAAGTGAGTACTGGCGCGGCGTTTCAAGTTATTTTTTATCAAGAATCAATTATGGATTAATGCTCAGTTCATAAAATCTTCTTCTAAAATCATCTCCAAAAATTTTAATACTAATAAAACATATGATTTAAGATATTTCAAATGTGATACATACCGATTTCGGCATCGTGGCAGCTGTGTTTTTTCGTACTAAATGGCGAAATTATCCCTCTGAAACAGACATATAGAATATTGATTAAAATCGAGTTCCTTAGATGAAGATAATTGATATCCTACAATTTGTGCGAAGCACGTTTGAATTTCTCATATTCTAATTCCTTGGACACATGGGTGGAATCTCCACGTGATTTTCATATTTAGACAACATCATGCTACTATCATTGAAAATGATACTCTTTATACCTTCTTAATGCTATACGTTCAAACACGTAGGCAGATAATTACAGCATTTGATCAGACGTTTAATTACTCAACTAGATCTTGAGATGTTAAATAAGATGTCAAATCGCATATATTTCTATAGAACATCAATTAGATCATTCTATATCAGACATAGACATATGCATGTAATTAATCCGATATAAATCAGATTAAAAAAAAGCTGACAATGAATACTTGACTTTATGTGCGGAAATTCGCAACAAGCGATGTCATTCGTTGTCGATTGTGAATGTTATCAGAACGCTGATAAATCCTTGAAAATAGATCCTAGTTTAATTTTCTAAACTTTAATCATACATGATTTTTAGATAAAATCAAATTACATAACCGTTAATTAAACTTCAAGTGAAACTTCTTCTGAAAAGTGAAGTCAATTTAACACAAGATTAGAAATAGATAATTCCATCAAAGGATTTGTCATCGATTCTAGTAAGTGATATCGAGATACTGTTCTGCGAGCAATTCGTGACGCTATTTTAAGTATAATAATAAAGATTTTATAAACAACGTGTTGACGTAAGCACAGAGAAAGATTATGTAAACTTCCTCCTTCTTGCAGTCGTTTAAATATTATATATTAAAATACGAGATAATCTATAAAATTTTATGTATATGTGAAATGAATTTAAATAATCATTTTATGATTCACGGCGATATACATATTGACATTTTAATTAATATATAACGTATTTTAATTAATTCTAAAAAATTTAAGAAAAAAAGAATTAGAAAAATGTGAGACAAATAGTAATGAAAAAAATAATAAAAATAATGATATAAAATAAAAACGTTTTGTTTTTATTAAATACAAGCCTGTAATCTTTATTGACAACGTAATTAATTCACATAAAAATTTTAACGTCACAATAGTTAATTTTAATTAGTAGCGATGCATTAAGTACCGGATGCAAACCCATTGGTAGATGAGTTACTTTTACTATGAGTAATGAAGATGCGGCCCTTCAGTGACAAGTTTCACAATTGTGCAGCTAATTATTATTATCATCATTATCGTAAACTAGAAGATAGAAATAGATATATCTTACACAAGAAACAATTACGCAAAGAATTCTCAATATTCACATCACGTACATCCGGTATATAAAATAAATCTCCACGTAAATAAAAATTATTTTATGTAAGAATTAATGCAGAATTGACCTCATTTCCTGCATTTAATAAATAAAAGAAGAAAATATCGTTTTGAAATTAACTGGATATCGCTAATCGTATCTGAGTAAATGAATATCTTGTACATAAAAAGAACAATTATATTAAAATATCTAAAAATTTAGCTAAATATAGATTTGAAATAATTATGGACAAAACTAATTATGTGGGTATTTCAAGCACAATAAACAATGCTACAAAAAATGTTAACATCCTAGCAATCAGCTGAAAATTAAGCTGATTCATTATTATAAATTATTTTGATAATTCACAAACAAAATTGTTTTCAAATTTACATAGCTAAATTGTTAGATACTTCAACAAAATAATTCTTTCCGTGTACACTGGAAAAAAATTTACTATCTCGATAAATATGTTTTTTAATATTTGTAAGTAAAAAAAAATTTATCTATAAATTTATCTCTATAAATATTTACTAAAAAAAAAGATAATTAAATCAAATTAATGATTCTTATATCAAATAAATATACGTTAACAGTTAAATGTTTATACTTATATATATTCAAAGAAATAATTTATAAAGATATAGTAAATTTTTTTTCAGTGTAAGAATAACAGTCAGCCATATAGAGTTACATAAGCCTGTCGTTGCGTGTACACGCCTCGGATGCGGGCTGCACCACGAACATTCAACTACCTGTTACCACTCGTTACTTTAATGCCGCGAGCTTGCCAATCTTTCGGTAAACTTTCGTAATCCCCTTTCGTTGATCTCCGTCTGGCTCTTTCCAGCGCCGGATTTAAAGCCCGGACCGATGCGACGAGTCGTCGGCATCGGAAATGCAGGGAGGGAGCAACGGGTTGTGATGCAAATCCGCGTGACCGACATCCGCCGCGATCGCCGAGGAGTGCCCGATCGTCGTGATCTGTCCCGTCGTCTAGCATTCTCTCTTTATCATCTAGGACCCAACCCACCGTCCAGACGTTCGTTGAACCGTCCGTTATCTCTCGCCTCTCGTCGCGCACTCGTCGAAAGGCCGACGACGCGGAGAATGGGATACGCGCCATTTATCGATAACGGCAACCGGAAGGATGAATAAAATAATTATGGTGATTGAAAGGAATTCCTCTTAATCAAAATACTTTAACTCCTTCAGATCTTGTAACGTACGTCAAATTTGAACGCATCCGTTGAAATTATTTAGGTTGTGTTTCAAAATTTACTGCAAGTACTAAAAATCTATAGTTTACGTCATGTGCACTATAGATTTTCGGTACTAGCAGTAAATTTTGGAACCTTAGTTCTATCATCTGAGACCAGAAGTATATAAAAAATCAAAAATGTATATACGTTGGCAAAATAGTCAACATTTGGAAAAGAAATTTTTTTAGTATTATGAATTACTTATTAAAGTGCTTTTGAATATAATTAAAAAAATTTTTTTTACATAGTCTAGTATTTTTTTTATCATTACATTAAATTAAAGGGTCTGAAGATTAATTAATAGAATGAAAATTATTGAGAAATTATTATAACGATTATTATATGTTAATTATGTCAATGTAAAATATGTTATTATTTAAGCAATTAACAAAGCGCACCATCATATGAGAGACACCTAATAACCGTATTAGAGTAGCTATTTATATAACTATGATATGGAATGATATTCTGTTCAACCTTGCTGATATAAGCGGTACAAAAAAGAAGAAAAACCATCAGGCAATTAGTATATTTTTTACGATTCACGATCGTTCAAGCGTCACGTTTAAAAACATTTATTTGAACAGCATATTATATCGTATCTTGAGCATGGCCGGGCATTAGAAGTACTATCAATCGTACTATCAAATTGCGCTATCGATTTATCTTAATTAATCTCTAATGTTTTAGCGCTCGTTGCGAATTGCGTTTTTACGATAAAGACGAATTCCGTTAGCGATTGCTCGAGCTGATATTAAGGCCCTGAGTAGTCACTACGGCCATATTGGATCACGTCATAAGCGAGAAATGACACGTTGAAGTTTCCCGCACGCCATTTGTAAATAAAGAAAATTTGGGTAAAACAAAATAACTTTAAAATACTTGTAAAAATGAAAAAAAAGCTATCCTTTCCTCTCCTGATTACCTTGGAAGAAATATAGATAGCGCGCATTATGATGTAAAACGCTACCATTAGTGACGTCATGATTGTGTTTGTTGACGTTATCTACAGCTCCGAAGACACCTCGTAGTACTAAATAACGCGAATAACGTTTCTCCGAACGCTTGATTCAAAACTATTGAGATCTATTGATTGGTTTCAAGGATAGAGAGATCCGAGAACCTCTCTGTTTTGCAGCCAATCAATAGACTTCAAAAGCCTTCTCGTACTATGGGCATCACGGCCGTCACATCTGACGGCTAGATATGACTGTTTAATTATCATCCCGTGTTTACATTCGATGCGATCTTGACATTGGGCAAATAATATACGGAATCACATTCCGGCATTTAAATGCTTATCACCATTTAACACCACTTAGCGCTCAGTTGTAACCACTATTTATATGAAATGTAACAACTCGGGCGCGACGAAGATCTTGTCTTCGCGAAAGGATTCGGAATCGATGTGAGATAAAGATCGCGTGAATATTTTAATCATTAAATGCGTGAGGTTCTCGATAGTTATAATAATAACCCGATCCATTTCATCGACAAGCTCTAATCAGTGATTATTGACTATGGATCGTCAATCGCATTGACCTTTTAACTCGTAATTAATTTTTAATTTGCCGTAACGTATAAAATACATTGCAAATCAAAGTGTGTAAAAAATGATTACAATGTACGTGTGTGACTAGTTTTCCGTGTAAAGATAACACTAAACTGCATACAAAAATAGGTTTACGTATTTAAACGTGTAGTATAGTGTCATTTTTACACGGGAAACTAATTACATATGTTGCATTCATTTTTTACACACTTATCATTTTAAATGTAATATAAGAGAATGTGAAATAAATCCTTTATATGATGATTATTTCCCTGAGAAGAGTGATTTCCATTGACTCCTTCATGATCATTTGATCATCAAATTTACACACTAATTTACACGGTAGATTTACTTGCGAGTGTCGTCACACGAGATGCAAGGTCACGGATTGCTGTAATTAAACTGTACGCCGAGTTCAATATACGTGCAATTAACAGTTGACCTATGAGACGAAGTCCGGTCTCCTTCCCTGAGAATCGCGACGATGATTTATGCGGAACAAAGCCCGGAAACCGGTGTTTCCTCAGAGAAAATCCAATCCATTGTGTGTTCGATTCTTCTGTCTTCCGAACATACGATTTAGTGTGTCATTGAGTCTGAGATTCAGAATTCTACGAAAAAAACAGAGATTTAAACACTCATTTCAAAACTAATTGTTCTAATCTTAAGATTATAATCTTAATTCTTAAGATAAAAAATGTTAAGATTATGATCTTAAAAATTTTTATCTTAATTAAGAATATAAACATAAATACAATATAATTAAGAATGTAAATATTTTTTAAGATTATAATCTTAATTCTTGAGATTACAATGTAAAAAATTTTTATAATCTTAATCACACTGTAAAAATATTTTTTTTGCAAACCGTACATGTGTAACCGTATATAATGTAATAACAAATTAAATTAAATAAAATATAAATGCAATTTCTTACATGTTCCTGTTTGTGTAACCGATTTACTTAATGTCATCGACAGATTGTATAAATGCACTGGGAAATAAATAAAAAACAATTAAATAATTACATATATATTTAAATAACAATATATTGCGTCACTCTCTTAAATAATTATTCGTCAAAGATAAACGTCCGGATTTTCAACATTTGTTTTACAACGACTTGCAATTATGATTTAAGATTGACAGTCATTGAAATATCAATAAGAGGAAGCCATACAGTTTATCGCGATAATCCTTGTTATATGAGTATATCCGAGAATGATAAATCCTTTCCGCATAAAACAGAGAGGATGATTCAATTCCGCCGCAGAATAAAATACAGATGACATCACTAAGAAAATATATTACATAATGTCGAAACAAAGCGCTGTCATCACTTCGGGCCAATAAATACATACCTGACGATCGAAAGATATTAATTTAAAACTGTCGACCCGACACCTTTCTTTGAAAGACGTGTAATTCATAACCATTAGCACGTTCAGTTCTTTTATTTTTACAAGTGGAATTTTAACAAGAAGGAATTAAAAATACAATTAGTTCACGTCTTAAAATAATTGTAACTTGGAAAGAACGATTTTGGAGAAGTACCTGAAAATTTAAATAGATTTAGATTTAAAAATAATTTTGTTCTACCATCAAAATAATTATGAATCAAGCTAATTGTTGAAATTATCCAAATTTTTTGCAGCATTATTTATCATGCTTGAGATTCTTATACAATTATTTTGATGGTTCAACAAAATTATTCTCAGATCTGTATATATTTAAATTTTTAAATAATTTAGTAAAATCTGCTTTTCACGTAATGTTCACATATGTCAAAATGCAAATCATCCATTTCTGCAGTTAGTTTTAAAAGACGTTCCTAATAACATGTGCACTTAAAAAATAATAAACTAAATTTGAGTTAAATTTAATAAATTTTCTTATATTAAATTATTTGACACTATTATTTTAGTTAAATCAGCTATATATATTGAGCAGAAACATTGGCGAGTCACAGAAATAATTCAAGTTGGGTATAATTTGACATAACATTATTTAACAACGTTGAGTATCCTATCTAATTATTTCAATGATTCGACAAAATTATTTTTAAATCTGTATCTAACTAAAATAAATTTTTAGATATTTTAAAACTATTTTTTCCACGTAATATGTATACACCAATTTATCATTTAAAAAAAACGCTAAAAAAAAACAGAGAAATATTACAAAAATTTGCACATGAACAAAATTCGGAGTTAATAAAGTTTTCAACTAATAACGTGCCAAATTAATTTTCTCCATGTAAAAAACGTGCTTCGACACGGTACTTTTCTCGCGTCTTCTCTTCGTCACAAACTCTATGTTATTCGTGACGATCATGATCGACACGAACGCAGGACTAACGGCGGCCACGTTTAAACGCTACACGTGCGACAAGAATGAACGTCCAAGGATTTCTCAACGAGAAAGGCGCCGCAGGGCGAGCGTGCCGAGATAGCATCGTACACCATAACCTCTATACGATTTACTGAGAGATGAAGACGCCTATGTCGCGAGTACCAAGATAGGTCCGGGATGTGTCGAGCCGCGGAACACCCGACATCACTTCCCGTCCCGTTCTTACAGTCATCATGAGTACAACTGCTGACAAGCGTGATCAGAGGCAACGAAAGTGGAGAACGCGATCCAGCGCGTTCTGGAGTTGTAAATCCGGCGATTCCTTTCTAAATCTGTACTCCGAGTGTTTTATATAAGGTGTCGCTCGTGCGAGTTACTTAATGGATATAATCTTGTACCAAATTTGGTTACTTGCATAAAACTCGTGTCACGCTATGTATTGGAAACTGAGAATTGTGAATTATATAGAGACTGAATTCAACCAGTCAGATAGTTTTAATTTTCATCCGTTTCGTTCTGATTAACTGAATTCTCATTTTTAATTCCTCAATCTCTAATGTGACAGACTTTACGTTAGATTAGATTGCACTAAATTATATCAAACTAAAAAGTTAAGTGTAAAATATAAATATTTTAAACAATTCAGTTGGTAATAATATCGTCATGTTATTTGATTACAAAATATACGTGTATTATTTTATTGTCAAAGTTGATTGTATTATGTTACTGCATTTAAGTATTTTATATAGAGCAGCCTTTAATGTGCACTTGATCCAATATAGTGTGAAATGATCAAATTCATCAACACAGGTCTACTTTCACAATATGTGGTTACCTCAGAATTAAAGGTTATATAAAATTACACCATTAAAATTCATTCATGAATTTCTTAGTAATCTTTAATATTTACATAACATTTTATATATTGTAAAAACAAGCTTTAAATAAACTTGGAGATGTTGTGTTTGTCATTTCTGTCACTAGATTTTCAATCGAAACTGGAAGCTTGGGATTTTAATTGTAAGATCGAAGCCCGAATTCTGTTCTTTTCTTTTAACAATAAGTTTGAATTTTCATTGTAGCTTGAGATTAATTGAAGAATGTTCGTTATTATTAGTTTATCATTCTAAATCGTTAACGGAAAGTCGTCAAAATATTTACGTTGAATACTTCTCTGACTACTCACAATATTTGTCTCAAACATATGTGCTGGTAAGTTTGAGACACCCTATAGATGGAAAAGGAAAATATGCGGGTGCAACCAGATCAACCGATTCAATTAATTTAACGTTCTATCTCTTAATAAAATAATAAATCACATTTTTAGTTCCTCTATATTTCTAAATTGGCAGGAAATATATAATTATTAAACTATATAAATATTCTAATAAATATAATAAATAATAATAAATATAACTAAAAAATAAATGTGATTATTAAAATATATATATATAAATTATTAAACGTTAATTTATTAACATTTAATAAATAATACTAAGTCACATTTCTACATTTTTCTTCTATATTTTTAATATAGTAAGAAAAAAATTTATAAATCACATCTGTATATTCCCCTATATTTTTAATATAACAAGAAAAAAATTTAGTAATCGCTTTACTCGATCAATTTACAGTTTTCCATATTTTGAATTATTTTTCAACTTTGATATAGAAAAAGAATTATTCCATATTTTTTAATATAATAATAAATCACATCGTTAGTTCTCTCATATTTCTAAATTACCAGGAAAAATATATTTTATCAACAGTCGCTTTGCTTGATCAATTTACATTTTCTATTCCTTGAATCACTCTTCAACTTTAATACAATAAAAAAATCAATCCATATCTCTTAATATAATAATAAATTATTTCTAGTTCCCCTATATTTTTACAGCAAAAAAAAATTAATTAAACAGTCGCATTTGATTTATTTACATTTTTTATTTCTTGAATTACTCTTTCCAACCTGAATATAGAAACAATCACAATAAGTTATGGTTTACTAATCGAGGGAGTTTCGTCGAACTTAATTTAATTTTTTGTTTCTTTAACAAGTCAAACAATGAAACAATTAGGAATCACTGTTGATTATCGGTTGATTAATATATACATCGTACAAATACGAAGAATCTACGAAGAATCAACCCGCCCAAATTATGGCAAGGCGGAATCGACGTTGGCAAACGTGGCACACAGAGAGAAAAGAAAATTAAGTTAAACGCAGTTAACTTAACCGACGTCGGTACAATCGAACATTCGAACCGGTTTTCTGGTGAACCAAACCAACCTCGATTCCCTCGTTTCTTCCCGAGGATAAATACTTATATCACGTTCCGAGTTGTAACGTGTACTGCAAAAACGAGGAAAAAAAAAAGAGGCAAGTTTATAGCAACCGGCGCGGCGTTGTCGTTACGAGGTCGATCTCGCGAGTCGCTTCGATTGACCGACTCTGGCTCCTCTTCTCGTCACGCGTTTCAGATCGCGAGATGCAATTCGCGATCGAACGTATAATCGGAATATATCGCCGCATAACCGACGTTACCGGCAACAATCCCGCAAACGTCTCGACGCCACGACGATGACTTGGCTTTCTCGGTGCTCGATTATCAAACACTCTTTTTCGTGACATGACGATTGACGGCGGAGGAGGAGAAGAATGACGAACGTAGGTCCCGCGTGACTACTGACGACGTCGGCGACGTCGGGCGACGTCGACGGCGCGCTTACCTGATTAACCTGATTCTGCTTGCACCCGTGGATCCCGTGACACGTGTGACGCACCGCATCCACAACGTTGGACCGCCTGGCGCTCACACTCGCGCTAGTAACCCCACGACTAAGCCGGCGAAACAGGAAATCGCACGATCCACACCCAAAAATCCCGTCACGTTCGGAAAATACTGACACCTCACTGATAATATGGCCGCCGCCGCCGCCTGTCCGTCCGTCCGTCTGTCCGTCCGTGTGCGGTGCGAAGCGCCGAAGCGGTGATTTAACGGCCTGGGAAGGGGTAATGAGGGGAAAAACGAGCACGAATCACGCACTTGATGAAGATGCGTCGCTCGCGGTTTAGAAAATTCAAGAGACATCAGATTGGCCGCGTTTAGCACAAGCGCTTAGTAAGCACTTTACACTGATTGGCTTGTTTATTTTTAGATCTAACGCTGATATTACATTTATTGTAAAACAAAATTACATTAATATATTATATAAAGAACAAATGTAATATTAGGCTAAAGCCTTGATTGCGTTCAGTAGAAAAAGTATAGTTTTGCAACTGTTGTGAAATTCTTTAATATATTGGGTCATCTAAAAAGAAAAACCGCGGATACTTTTTAGATGACCCAATACAATAATTGATTTGTATATGTCGATCCAGGAAGGAACTCTTTAGAGTTCCTCACTTATGTGACCGTATGAATTCAAATGTGTTCAAATGTAATTTATTAAGATGATGAAATCGTCTGTAATATCGACGAAACGGGTATTTCATACTTTTTCATTTTTTTCGTTCTCCTTATACAAAATAAAAAATTCGTTCTTCAGAATAAAGCAGAGAGAAACTTGAGAGTGGACATCCTGGCTTTTTTATTCGTATACCAAATCTCATAGGGTAACATCCACATTTTTATGGTTCTTTTCCATACTATTATGTGGATTAGACAAAGATGAATAATCATTGATTGTCTTGTTTAAGAAACGTTCCACGTAGCATGGTAAAGAACCACAAAAACGTGGATATTACCTTACGAGATTTGATACACGAAAAAGGCCGAGATGTGTCCACTCTCAGGTTTCTCTATAATAAAAAAAAAAAAACGCAAATAGTTTTAAAAAAATACAATCCGATATAAAAAATTAAAAAAAATTGTAAATTACAGTTTCCATGTAGCTGTTACCATGTGGGTTAATTTTTTTTTAAATTCGCGACTCAAAATACTATAACGAAAACATGTTCAAAAAATTAAATTAAAATATTATTTGTAAATTTTTATTTTAAACAATTATAAATTTATTAGATATAATCTGTGAATATTTAGTCCGAAATATTATTAAATATTATTAAAAATTGCAGATTTTATGAAAGTTCGTGTGACTACAAATTAAAATGATTAATAGTAAGAAAATGATATAATATATAATACTAATTTTATTATTTATTTATTTTATAATTTATTAATTTCGTAAATATGTACTATGATTTTAATGTCGTCCAAGTTTAATTATCAATAGACATGATAACTGTAAAAAAAAAAGTTATAATTTTTGGTGATATAAAAGATTAGAAAATGGATGCACCGGATCATAAAATTATCGGATATTGGATATCCGAAAGCAATGTAACATCGGATATTCAGAAAGGCAATTTTTCGAGTCGGATATCCGATATTTTTCGAAAAATGTCTTCTAAAAAAACCTGTAAAGATAAAAAATTGTAATTTAAATTTGCAACTGCATAATAAGATATTATATTTATAAATATGCATATTTATTATTTGTAGAACATTTATATATAAAAAAAAATCAACAATTTAATGATGTAAAATTTAATCGGATACTAATAATATCAAGTCGGATAATAAAAAAATGCAAGATACCGGATACCGGATACTTTTCGGATATCCGCATCCCTATAACAGATATTATAGCATTACAAGTATTCATACTTATTTATTCAACACTTATACATATAATAAAAAATCATAAATTTAATAATTTAATATCCAAATTAATAAATATTTATATTATTATGTTTTACATGAAATTAAAAATTTGCTTTATCGACATTGATCAAGTTCGGCCGTTGCTCCACAGTATTCCTTTAATTATTCTCTCTCTTTCTCTATCTATACTAATTTCTATTTTTTTTTTACAACTTTTATTAGAGCTATATAAAAGATATTTATTGAGAATAAGATAATTAACCGACTACATTTGTTTGGTTAATTATTTAATTTCGACATAAAAAATGCCAGATGTCCTTCAATTATATTCTTCCACATTTCTCGCATTTCCCCTTATTGTTTATAAAAATGTATTTAGCATCGACGTGTTTTTTTTAATAACAACTCATCGGTATATCCAACTATTTCTGGCTGCTTTATATTACTGGTTGCAGTTTTTTTGTGCTTACGCTCGCGCGAATGGGAGGCTATATTCATATATCATATATCATATATACATATATATATATGTACACACCAAGCTATACGACGCACGCAAGCTATATGCGGTATCTGATTACCGTGGATTATCGGTCGTCATGTCAGTTTAGAGAAACGTTGCAATTGTCATTCGTCGATCTCTATTGTTTCGCTTTCCGGTCGGACTCTGCAGGGGTCTACTAAAAAATGTAAGTGAGGTGTAGGTGCGTTCTCAGTTGATAAATAATAACAGTAATAGATTGTAGCTATACGAACGGTACGAATGACACATCACGTCTTCTTCGTTCTCGCTCGTTCTCGTTTACTTGTTCCGCGCAACAAGCTGTGTTCCGTTCATCGATGTGCAACGATGTGATAACCTAAACCTAAATAAAACCATCGCCATTCGGATCTCGCCGGTTTTAGAGGTATATCAATCAACCATTCGTGATGAAGTTCAGAGACGATTGGATTTCCAATAAGCTCCGTTGTTATTCAACACAATCCTGACAAAAATAAAAATCGAAGTGTAAAGCTAGTGGCACACGATGCGTGTTTTCTTACACGGTTGCTTGCATTTTAGTAAATTACTAGAAATTCTGCGCTCTGTGTGGTGCAATGTTAAGAATTTACTAGAACACAAGTAATCCGTCAAGAAAACATGCATCGTGTGCCGCTGACTCAGGTCGAATGTGTAAAGAAAAAATAAGACAGAAGCTTCTGAAATGAGAAAATTGAGACAATCGAAACGTACATAAAAGAAGCATGTATTTCTGTCGCTTTCTCTTTACAATCAATTTATGCTCCGATCCTTCTTTCTTACTCTTGTTTTGACAAAACCATTCGTGATCAGATCGTTTCGAGATCTCTACTATCTAAAGATAAATCGAAATTAAATCGAGATTAATTCTTAGAAATAGAAAGAGATAAAAAGTAAGTTAAACTGAAATTAAATTTAATCTACGTTGATAGAAACGGGCACAGCTCATCTTTTTCTAGTTCTTACAATTAAAAAAGATGAATCGGGATTAAAGTTAAATTATTATTTTGGTAAAAACAGACATAACGAAAAGGATGAAAAATAAACCGAAATTGTAGTTAACTGTATTGAATATAGAAATGGACAATAATGATATCAGTCGACACAGACATCATTCGGTAAATAAATAAAAAACAAAGTTATAATGTGACTAATTGTGTCGACTTGCGTCACCAAGTAAAAAGTATCCAAAATCATTCAAAAAAAAAAAAAAAAACTCAGAAACGAGGAAAGAGATGAAATGGCAATTTCGCGTTTTACGCGACGTCATCCCACGTTCAATCGACGTTCCATCGACGTTCCATCGATGTCACGAGATCATCGAACGATCGCGAACAATCGAACTCGCTCAAAGTCATTCCGTTTACATTTACATTTCATGACCAGAATCTTGCGGAAGGGGAAGGGATTACGAGGGATCATTTCATCATCCGTCTCGTCTCTCTCCAACGATCTTTTCCATCTGTTCCGTCCAACATCTTTATATACATTTCTTTCTTTGTCATTGTTGAGACAATGAGCCTGAGGAGCGGCGGAGAAGCAGGCTTGCTCGAGAATATTCGCTTTGCGGAGCGTTTCACGAAGGTGCCCGAGCTAACCTCTCGGCCGCGCCGCGAGTCTCCTACTCTTTCATTTCGTCTGGCTTTGATACACGCGGTGGAAACACGAGGACTGTTTGGAGCCCAGCTACGGTCGTCTACGAAGTTGAGGGACGCGCACTAATCGCGACAGACACGCGGGTAGTCAATCCTCGTGGCCGCCGCGACTTGGACGTGTCCGGTATCATTCATTTGACGACTTCGACGTATCGACATCCTTGACACGAAAGATCGGAGCTCGGAACATCCGGAGGATTATTTTTGCGACCACGCGTCTCGCGTAAATACACCACACACGTCACACACATGTGCCACTCGCGAGCCTGATGCCTCTTCGCGTGCGCGCGCTCGCGCGCCGCGAAAATCGAGGGAGATATAGATAAATATGGTTAGTCACACTCAGATTCTCTTACTCAGCCTCGGCGCGAGACGCCGATATCCTCTTTTTAGGTATGCTCGGCTTACCTAAAAAGACACGTGGATTCATGGCCCTCTGTAGAGTCACATCGCGACGCCTACCGCTCGGCCGAGAGAGAAGCATCGGTCAGAGTTAATTGTTTTACTAATTGATTTGTCCGGGAGAAGCGTTTATTTATCGAAATCCAAAACAGAGATAAACCGACGCCATGTGCGTGATGTCTGGGACATTCTCTTGCGTTTGGAAATTATTTATTTGAAGCGGAAAAATCGAAGTGATATAAATGGCAAAAGTTAATTACTAAGTTGTTAAGAAATTAATGATTGTTGTTAGATACATGAATCGTATTTATAGATATTAGTAATTCAAAATATGACAAGGGCTTTACAAGAAGAGAATTGTTTATTTTTGGATGAATTTATTAGTATTTTGCATAATATAATACACATCTATGTTGAAAGTGACATATATATATTTTATTTTTATTTTATTGTATAAAATATGAGGTCTGTTCTTTTTAGTTGAATTTCTTGCACGATTCATTTATGTTGGGGAGAAAAACAGTAAAGATAAATTGAGCAAAAAAAATCTAGAGATTAAAAATTTTATGTTATATAAGTATTTATGTTATAGGAACATAAATATTTGTATGTCTTTGATATCAATTTAATATTTCATTAAGCAAATAATATATTTGCTATATTATATATAATTCCTTTTTGAATATTTAATGATGTATAACTTATTTATATATAATTTTTATATCTGTGCATATAGGCAGGCAGATCAAGAAAGTGTTCGACAGATGAGAGTGATCTAGCAGTGAAACGGATCAAGAACTGCTGCAGAATGTTCTGTTGGGGCAGTACTATTCATGGAGAGCTAGGATTGGGCGGTATTGAAGATGAGAATATTTTTATGCCAAGAGAAGTGGATTTTATAGAAGCCAGCAATGTCGAGCAAAGTAAGTCCTTGAAAGATCTTGATGCAAAGTCTACAAAATTTCTGTCACGAGAATGTTCTGACGAAAATTAAATTTCAGTTGCATGTGGAGAAAATTATACCGTAGCTATTACAAAAGAAGGTAAAGTGTATTCCTGTGGTAATAACGACTATGGACAACTTGGTCACGAGAAGGCGAGGAAAAGGTTACGTGAGTACAATAAGAACTTTCAATTAAATTAAATGTGCCATTTAGACATCTCCTAAAATTCTTTATCAACTTTGCTAAAATATATTGATTTCTTTTATATAGAACTGATACCTGGCCTAGACGCATTTGTATTCAGAAAAATAGCGTGTGGTAATTGTCATACTCTGGCTGTGAATGAATGGGGACAACTTTTCAGTTGGGGTTGTAATATGAATGGTCAACTAGGTAACGTATACATTTTATTTTTTTATCTATTTTTTTATCTATATATAGAGACTGCTATTAAATATGATCATATATTTATTGTTTCATAGGATTAAATAGCGTCGATTGTACAGAGCGTGTTCCACGTATGATTAAAGTATTGGGTACAAATGTGATAGTGCAGATTGCTTGTGGTACAGAGCATTCAATCGCTCTAACTAACGATGGAGAGCTGTATGCGTGGGGTAGTAATAGAGAGGGACAATTAGGATTAGGGTCATACACGACGACTGAAATAAAACCAAAAAGAATTTCTACTTTAGCTGCCGTACCAATTGCATTTATCGCATGCGGCGGTTATCACACTATAGTTATATCAAAATCAGGTAAGGCATTGTATACTGTTCGACTTCATTTCATGTGAATAGAGCCTATTCTTGAATCTATATCGCATATGAAAATCTGTATACATATTGTATACTATAGGATTTCATATGGAATATTTTTCAGGAATAAGGCTCCTGCATTTGTTGTTTTCTCACAGGAGCTGTATTCTCGTGGGGGAGAAATACTTTTGGACAATTAGGACTAAATGACGTACAACAGAGGAATTTACCATGTCAGTTACGTACTTTGAGAAACGCGAAAGTATGCTATGCGACATGCGGCGAGGAATTCTCAGTGTTTTTGACGATGGTAAATTTTATTTATCCATCAGATAATACTTTGAAAATTAGAGAAATCCTAAAATAATGCTTTCTGCGGTTATTTCAGGACGGTGGAGTATTTACATGCGGTGCTGGAATGTATGGTCAATTAGGCCATGGGAATACTACAAATGAGATTTTGCCGCGACAAGTTATGGAGCTGATGGGTAGCACGGTAACACAAGTAAGCTATAATTTACACAAAAATAATATTGTAAAAAAATAATATTATAATTGTGTACATGATTAAAATGTAATTTTACATTATGATGAAAATGTTACATTAATTTTATTTATTTTACATAATTTATATATATTTGTTAATTTATTTTAAAAAATTACATCTTAATTATATTAACATTTTATTATACAGATATCTTGTGGTAAAAGACATACATTGGCCTTAGTGCCGTCTAGAGGAAGAGTTTACGCTTGGGGTTTGGGAGGCGCTGGACAATTGGGCAATCGTGCTTCACAGAGCGCTACCACACCGCAAGTCGTTCTAGGACCTTGGTCTTCGCCGAGTGGATCATCGGTGATGCTCGACCTACACTATAGCCCTCAAATCGACTGTGTTGTTAAGCACATCTTTAGTGGAGGCGATCATTGCTTTGTTACTATCAGTCATAAAAAAGTGTGTTTTTCCATATTACTCACGCTCTTATTGTTAAGTTATTTTCCAAATTTATAAGTTTATATCAGCAGTTTTCTTTTTAAAAAAGAAAAGAAGAGCGCAACGCGAATATTTAATTTTGCATCATTTCTGTAATAAGTTATGAAAAATTATCTTTATTTAAATATATCTACAGGATAATATAGAACCGAGCGACTGTAGAATATTAGGACCGACTTCCCAAATTCTTACAGTGATGGAGGAAAAGCTAGCCGAATGTCAGAAGATCCCACCAGGTTCACCAGTGAATCATGAATTAATGACGTGAGTGAAAAAAAATACGTATTAAAGAAAAATTATGCAATCTAACACAGAAATTAGGCACTCACACTTTTTTTTCATATTTTTATTATTGCCGAGACATAACGTCTTGATATATTTGATCTAATCGATTTTGCCATAGTCTCAGTTATCGCGTAGATTTTAAGTGTTTATGCGGTATTTTTCAGGTATCTAGAAACTGTATTCAAAAGTCAAGCGTGTATAAATGCATCCTTTTTGCTCAGTAATGACGCGCATTATGGATGTTCGAGCAAGCATCATGGAATCAATATCGACTACACTATCAGATTATTTGGAATTATCTCAGAACTGGACAACAGCACAATTCAAGAACTGGTACGTATATGCTGGATATTCACCTACATACAGCAAATACTGATCTAATTCAATGTTGGTATTCAATGCAATCAAGAAAAGGAGTAAATTGTTTACAAATACAAACATGAATGTTTGAACATTCGAGTTCGTTCGGTATTTGTTAAACTTATACTCAACTTACAGATATACAGATATACATGTAAAATATTCGATCAATCTCTAAATGGCGACGTTTTCATTTCAGATTTTTGCATGTGTAACTGAAAGTCTGATACCATCGTTTGTTGACTCTCCGCCCGATGTGGAATCCTTAAGAGTGTACTTAACGCTACCGCTATATCATCGCTTCGCAAATCTGTCCAACTATAGCTCTTTGCAAACGCCATTCTGTAAGGCTGTATTGAAATTGAAGGCTGAGGCTTGTAAGATCGTAGGCATGTGGTGGAGTTCAGCCCCTCCATACTACTTCGAGAGACTCGTGAGAATGTACAAGTCTGTGGTGCTGCACTTTGTGAAGCAGTCGACGGCGGATAAAGTAAATTGCGCGCAGAAATGTTTACATGAACGATAAGCGATTAGAAAGAAAAGATTTTCAAAAATTTTTTGAGCTTTTCTATGTTATGTTATAAGTTTAGCAATCAAAAAATTGTTCTGTAACTAGTTCTTGTTTCCGCTGTAAAAAAATAAGTCAGTGCAAAATTATAAAAATATTTTTATACATAAGATACTTTATGAAAATTTTGTCTTAAAGAGAGCAGATTTCTTTTATATGATAATTTTGGAGAACATGTTCCACAGGCCATCATGTGGACTGAAAGCTTGCAATGTGCTTTACAACTACTAGGACTATTATATAAACTAAATATCATAGCTGGTATACGAGTACCCCACGAGACTTTCCACTTATCAGAATTATCGGAATATGTAGACATTGCTCATGAATACTGCAAATGGCTAACAGAAGAAGATCGATCTTTTGTAAGTCACTCTAAATTTGCTATGCTCCACTTAATTCATGTATATACAGTGAATTAAGTAACACATCGTACACTTATTGCTATGCACATATAATATTAAAATTTCTACAATTTTTCAGTACCATAAAATATACTTCTGCAATTATCCTTTTCTGTTTGATGCCGAGGCGAAAACAAAGTTGCTCGAAACCGATCAATCTATACAGGTAAAAAAGAATCTATTTAAAAATAATTGTATGCATTGTGTAATAAGCTATATTTATATTAGATGCAAACCGCGATGAATGAAGTGGCATCACGAGTTGTGAGAGATATAATGCTCGGAACACCTAGCCTAAACTTTCAACAGTATAGTCAATTTGTAATATTGCACGTATCACGGAATAACATAGTCAATGACACTCTGGATCAACTGCTGAAATACGATTCTAACGAGTTAAAGAGACCACTTAGAGTAAGTATTAAAAGTTTCTAACGCCTTTTTAAAGATTTATAGCCTTTTTTTAAGAATTAGATAAATGTTTTGAATTTATTAAAATTCAATATTACATTTTAAAAGAAATGTTATAGTGCGTATAACTTTAACAAGCACTAGATAATTAATGTATAGTTACAGCATTCAAATTCTTTCAGGTTAAATTTCGTGATGAAGAGGCTGAAGATGTGGGTGGCGTGAGGAAAGAGTTTTTTATGCTTCTCTTCGCAGAGATTCTCGATTTTAAATATGGTATGTTTCAAGAATACGAAGAAACAAGAACAATTTGGTTCAGTTCGGATTCGTTAGAAGAAGAAGTTATGTATTTTCTAATTGGCGTTCTCTGCGGCTTGGCCATTTACAATTTTGTAATTATCAACTTACCATTTCCACTGGTCATGTATAAGAAACTTTTGGGAGAATCGGTCGGGTTAAGTGATATCAAAGAAATGTCACCCACAATAGCTAGGTATTTCGTTCATTCCCAAAACCGTACACGTTATTTATCACATATTAAATTAATTATCAATGAATATATGCATTGCAGAAGTTTAGAAAGTGTTCTCGAATACAATGAATCGGATTTTGAAGAAGTATACGGTTTGTGCTTCGAGATAAGTAGAGAAGTGTTTGGCGAGCTGAAGAACTTCGAATTGATACCCGGCGGTGATAAAATTCCTGTAACATTAAAAAATAAGTACGTAAACATTGCATGTATATCGACACCAGTAATAATAATAGAAGAAGAAGAAAAAGAAGAAAAGGAAAGCAAAACGCTTTTGTTTGCAGGCAACAATACGTTGACCTTTACGTGGATTATATATTAAATAAATCAATAGAAACGCAATTCAAAGCGTTCCATAAAGGCTTTCATAATGTGTGCGGTGGAAGGGTGTTAGAGCTATTCCGTAGTCACGAATTGATGTCGCTTCTCATTGGCAATGAGAATTATGATTGGGAAGAATTGGAGAAGAATACCACTTATAAGGACTGCTATTCCAAAAATCATCCTACTATCATGCTCTTCTGGCAGGTCTTTCATGAATTGCCGTTGGAGGAGAAGAAGAAATTTCTACTTTTCTTAACAGGCAGTGATAGAATACCTATACAGGGCATGAAAGCTATAAAAGTAAGAAAAAATGACATATTAAATTGTAGAATACATATATGATAATGACATATTAAATTGTAGAAAAAAAAAAAATATATATATATATACACATACACATGTATGTGTGAGTGTGTATGTATATATATATATGTGTATAATATATATATATATATATATATATAGAGAGAGAGAGAGAGAGAGAGAGAGAGAGAGAGAGAATAGATCTTCATAAAAAAAATATAATATACTATTTGTTATTTTTGTTACAGATAACGATACAGCCAATGACTGACGAACGTTTTCTACCGGCTGCACATACATGTTTTAACCTTCTCGATCTGCCGCGTTATCAAACTCGTGAAAGATTGAAATACAAATTGTTGCAAGCTATCCAACATAATCAAGGATTCTCACTCGTGTGAGATCGTGAAGCGCCTAAACAAGCTCAATAATTAATTATATAATAAAATGTATAAATCAACAGTGAATTGAAAGAATATGCAAATTTAATAGTCTTTTATTATGATATAATAATAACCTATAAATGAAATATGAGATGAACGCGTGGAAAAAAGTAACTTAAGTTTTTGACTATCTGAAAATAAAAATGTCATGCTTCTGACTTAAATTAAACCGATTATAACATCAGTTTTTATCATATCAAATTTAACAATAATATTATTTGATATGCACTTTGACAAGTATTTAATTATTATTATATGTTTGTCATTGTATAATATGAAATGAAAAAACTGAATATTAACATCATTTGTAACTAGTAATTATCAATCACGACTAATGAAAATTTCTTGAATTTTTATGCAGTGTAAATTTTATATATAAAATAATTATGTTACGTATATCTTGTGTGCGATATTTGTTACAAAGAAATTTTTATGTATAACATGTGCTATATAGAATGTCATCGGTTAACCGTGAGGAAAGAAAAATGCATAATGTTAATTTATAAATATACTTGAAATAGTCAAGAGAGGATGATACTCAGAGAAAGTTATCTAGTTTAATAAGAACTTTTTTTTACGCTCGATAAAGCAGATAAATTCCATAATTTTTTAAGAGATGTATTCAATATTTTTTGCAAAACATGTTGTTAATTTGAGAGTATATTTTTGGGCTTGCCATATATATATATATAAGGATTTGAGATGTATTACTGAAATAAATATATATACATATATATACATATATGTATATATAAGATATATATATACACATATATGTATATATAAGATATATGCATATATATACATATATGTATATATAAGATATATATATATCAAGCTGGCATAATAATTTCACATGACATTAGCGGTAAAAAAATATTTTTTTAACAATAATCAAATATTTTAGGTTTTATTGCTACGCATTTTTTTGATGAGAATGATTTAAACGACTCGAATTGCACTTTCGAGCCACATTCTTTTATGAAACGGTATAGAAAAGATTTTAAATTGTTATTTAGATATGTGTCTTGTATTATCTGGAAAGCAAACGGAAAAAATAAAGATTGTTATCTACCTCTTATGTCTCACATTTCATTATAAAATTTAAATATGTATATATACATCATATTACATTTTTAAGTGTAGTTTGTAATAATAATTACCGGTATATTGTCTAGCATAAATTGTAATATTTATTTATTCACATCGATATGTTACATTATTAAAAATTATTCGTTAGTTAGTTAACGGGCAGATCGTCGCCAAGTCGCATTATCTAACGCGTCGCATTTCAGTGATTCGATACATATCACTTTCTTCCCGAATACATTATTTTGTATTCCAAGGCTGCGTTCGCTTTGGCGCTTATAGCGCTTGTGAACATCAATTGTCCTTGTTTAATATTTAATAATCAACAAGGATGAAATGACACTTAAAGCGTGAGCGCCAAAGCGAATCCAGTCCGATTATATGATTCGATCGTTTATTTCGTGGATTTTTATCTGTATTCGATGTTCGTTGCTTTCCCAAATTATTGTGATTTTTCAGTAAAAAGCACAATCTGCTACTACATTATTATTCTTCTTTAAACAATCGCTTGTGATCCGCCACTCTTGTGATTCGTATGGCAAGCGTTAGTCTTGTAAACCTGTAAAATCTGTTCGCAGCGTTAATTCTATCACAACATTGAGTCCACCTAGATCAGAAATTCCCAAACCGGGGATGTCTTCGTACAAATAAGAATCTCTAGATAGATTAGAGATAGATTAAAGAAAAAAAAACAGTTTTTTTGCGCGAAGAAATAAAATTTTTTAAATAAATAAATAAGCTGTTGTATCTTTATCCTACTGTTTCATTTCACAAATGTAAACGTACCTAAGAATTTAGATTAAAAAAAAGAGAACGCGACGCTCACAAGTGTGGGAACTCCGAACGACGATGCTCGAATAATAAACCGAATGCTGTAAATGAGCCAGATTTTCGATAATTGTTATTAGTTTACGCTACCCTGCAAAGATGAAAGGTAATCGTTCAGTCTCTGTATATACAGGTTCGTTGAAGCTCGAGAAATCCAGATCGAAAATCTCTAAAAACCCGAGAAACGCATGACGTGGAATTTCTCTTCAATTAACTGAATCACATTCTGAAAGAACTACAGCACAAGCATTCATGTGCAGATACGCGTGAATGAAGGAAAGAAGAAATCATATTGCAAAAAAAAGACGAAATTCTGCATCGATTTTTTTTTACAATCGTGATTTTTTTTATTCACAAAGAAATCGACTTTCATGCGTTTCTCTGATTCTTGCGAATCTCGCAAGATTCACAAACAGCGTCCTGAGCATCCCAATCGATGAGAAACTCGGGACGATGCCTCATGCTCGAATGCGTTGCTCTCGGAAACGGAATATTCGCTACTGTTGGTAAGCCGGGGTGAAGTACTGGGTGCCAGGAGGTGCTCGGTAGCCCGGATAGCTGCTGTTCAGGGCGTGTTGCGCGAAGAAACCGCTATAGTCCTTGTGCACTCGACGAGGCCTAAAAGCAGGGCCCTTTGCGAGCTCTATCCTGGCACGGTTCTCCGCCTCGAACTGGGCCTTCACGGACGCCGGCGGCCACTTCAAATCTCCTCGCATATTGCCTGTTGCCGGAGCTTTTGTTGCTGCGGGTTGGGCCTGGTACACCGGTGCTGGTGCCTGTGGATCAAGACCGAATCCCAGATAGAACACAGAGTCATGATTAAGTCATAATATCACAGAATGTCGTCACATCATTTGATACTTAAAAATGAACTTATGAGTGACGATGAGATGTTCTGATGATATTATTATGACTTCTGTTACTTCTAATTGAAATAAAAGCTAGATTGGAATGATGGAAAATGTCGAGTAAACTGAAGTTTTATATCATTACCCGCGTTTTGCTTTGAGAATACTTTTTATTTTGTCCTTTTCTACTGAAAAATTTAATCTATTGATAATATACATTATCTTAAAAAAAAAAACCTTTTTTAAAAAAGAAAAAAATATACGCCAAATGCATAAAAAAGGTATCGAATATTACATTCTTTTTACTAAAAACCGGATACGACGTTCTAAACGTTCCTCTTTATTGTGTTTGATCAGCAATTGAACTCAAAGCAGAGTGTTTATCTCATGGCTAATTGGAAGAGGCTAGATGTTTGTTAAACCCCCTTCATTATAATGGTTTCTCTCCCTTGGAACTTCCCGCTACATAAAGGTGTCTCCAAACAATCGGTATGGGCAACGTATGTTAATTAGCAAATATCATACACATATATGATACACATCATTATCCAAATATAAATCAATATTTATATTGTAAATCAATATTTAGCAAATGTGCACAAAGGTGCCGCATAAATTGATCATATCGTTTATTTATAAGTGCCAGACGACGCCGCCTGCGCCAGAAATTTATCCATGAACAACAAATCATGATAACGTCAAAATGAATCATGAATGAATGAGAGATGATTGAAAAATGACTTTTAATGGAATTATTTTGATATCATTTTGATATCATAATTGTTCTGCTTGGATACACATTGCACGCAGGCAGTATAATAGCGTTCGGGCAGCGCAAAAAAAAAAAACGTATCGAGAAATCAATATTGAAACGTATCAATAACATGGGCGTAAACGCAATATCTATAAACCAAAATATAGACAGAGTATTTTACAAATCCAGTATAAATGTACGGAATTTTGTGAACGACTATATATCGTCGCCGCGAGGCGTCGTAACGAAAGGATTAAGGAATATTCAGGATCATAAACTATGTACATCGATATACACATTAATGTTACCCGCCAATTAAAGTACATATATCACGCAGTCTCTGTAATGTGGAAATTTCGGAGACATTGTTACAATACATCTGTAAATTAATTAGTCTAATTACATTTCATCAGAAATTTAATTCAAACAAAAGCAGTGTTTATCTCATTATTAATTGGAAGGCTGTTAATCTCTTTCGCTGACAATGATTCTTCTCCCCTGAAATGTTCTCGCTATACAAAGGCATCCCCAAACGATACGGCTAACGTATACTAACATCGACAAATATCATACATAATGATGTATGTATAATACGTTGCGCGTGGGTAGCTTTAGCGTTTGGACAGCGCAAAAAAAAAACGTATCGAGATACGAAGTGAAATAAAGCAATATTGAGCAATATTGACATAAACGTAGAATCAGAGCATAAACAAAATATAGACAGAGTTGTATTTTGCAAGTTCAGAACAAATGTACAACAAATGAATTTTGTAGTAAGCGACTATCTCAATAAGAAATGACAATGGAATCGATGTCAATTTGATGATTTTTTTTTTAAACAGTCTAAATGCAAATAGCCGTTTGTTATATCTATTATCAGAGGAAACTGTCAGTAGAAACCGTTGGGATGTAAACGGTGATAAATACATTGACGTTAATTACATATAATAATGATAATGAGCACAAAGGATCGATTTAGCAGTTATCTGACTTTGATATATTTACGCGTATATAATAATCACGTTAATTATACGCGGCGTTCACGGAGACGCTTGTCGGTTCAATGAACCAGCAGATGATATTGATCTAATTTGTCAAAGAGATACTTAAACAAGTGACAACCAAGTGATAAACAGCTATTTGAATTCGTAAATGAATAATGTGATAAATAAATAATTCTGTTACAATAATAAATGTAGAAATTTAATTATTTAATTATTTAATTATTATTATTTAATTATTTGATAATTGCCTTAATATTTAATTATTTATGAATGTAAATAGATCAAGTTCTCTTTATTTCTTGACAATTAATGAAATTCTTTACTGGGCTCTTTGACAAGCAAATTATAACAACATTTTTCTCGTAACAATAATTTTAGCATAAAATTTATAATTCGATTGAGTTTTTATATACATATATATATGTGTGCCATGATCACAGTTCAAATAATATCGAATTACTTATTGAATAAATATACAATGCATAATAATATATACACATATTTATAGCTAAATTTTGTCACGACGGATGTACCTGTATCTCATATAATACCCATACGAGTTCGCAGATAAAAAAAAATGGATGACCCGTGCGGAAACTGCGGAGGGAGAAGGGACGAGAAGGGTATAGAATAACTGCCCTTCGGGCTCTCTATTCGTATGCGGTTTCTGCGCAGTTTATTATTTTTAATTTGCAAGCTCGTACACGAGATAGGTACGTTATAACAAAATTGCCTAGAGACAATTGTCTAGAGGACTACCCTAAGTTCCGCCCCTCTGTACTGTTGCTACCCTTGCCTGAGCAAACAATATACGAAGCATGGAGGTTGATCGACAAACATGCTTGAGGTTACAACAAAAATTCGTGATAACCGTAATACGAAACTATTTTCCTTAAACGCCCAGAACTATGCCTCCAAATAAATATTTTTTACAAAAAAATTAATAAAAAATAAAAATAAATAAAAATAACAATAAAAATAAAAGTAAAAACGAACAACAAAAAATACAAAATAAAAATAAGAACAAAAAATAAAAAATAAAAGAAAAATAAAAAATAAAAATAAATAAAAAAAAGAAAATTTAAAAAAATTTTAAAAACAAGAAACAAAAAGATAACAAATAGAGAGAGAGAGAGAGAGAAAAGCGATGCAAGATGTTGAATGATGTCGGAAACTATTCTGAGTAATTTTAATCGAAAATTTGTCGATGTCACAACTTCAAAAAAGCTAGTGATTACGAATTTGGCAGCGGCACGAACATACATAAATATGTCGTTCGCATCAAGTCAAATAGTCAAGCGGTCCGTATCATATTTTTATCTTGGCGTCATTTAAGTTCATTCTTTTAGCATAAGAAACAAAGAAAATCAAGAGTACAACGTGATTAAAGAGGCGCAAGTTGAAGTGTAAAAACTTTTTTATTTTACAAGAAAGATGATATCATCATATTGTAAATTATCTAATTCTTTCAGACTTTTATCGGATTATATTTGCGGACTGAGAAAACGATTGCATCCTTTTTTGAGTATTTTCAAAATTCAACTTTACGAATACCAAAAGCGGAAATATGTGAAAGAACCGTATTCTTGTTACCAAGGGGAACAAGAAAATAAAAATAATATCAATTTGACGTTATATATATTTTTACATTGACTGATCATTGACCGAATTTGTCAATTTATGTCATTCTTTTGTCATGTTTCAGTCAATATAATATCATTTTGACTTTATTTTAATTGTTCTCTTTGGATAGCGATGCAAAAGCTGTACTATTCTTTCGAAGTCGTGGGTCAGATTAGAAACATCTAGATATTCAGGATATTCTTAGAAGTAAGTTTCAGACAAGGGAGATGTAATCGATGCTGCCGGAATGACGACGACGTATATTTAACGGCTGATATGCTGCCAAAGGCAGCTCTCGCTAGAGATCTCGCACGGATACTCTCGCAAAAATATTGTATCGCACCGCGCAACCCACGTCCGATATTAAACGAAATTTTGGAAACTCGCGTAATATTTACCGCGTTATTCTTGGCCGGATCATAGTTTTGCGGGAATTGCAACATAATATCAAACGTAACGTAAAATTATTTTCAAAAAGGTATAAGGTTTTTCTTCACGTTATAAAAATTATTTGTTTTTAAAATAATTAAGGATTAAAGTCAATCATCTCATATATCTCCGCTCATTGTATTAAATTTTATTTAATAAAATTTTATTTAATAAAATATTACACAACGACTTAAAATTTTTGATATATGCAAAACATATTAGGTGTTGGAATTAATTCGTAGCGTTTTACAAGTGATGAGAAGTACTTTCATTAATGTATTTTTTAATGCTCATGTGAAATAAATAACATTCTTTCATTAAAAACGCTACGAATTAATTCCAACACCTAATAATATATCAATATTTTATTTAAAATGTTTATTTTAAGATTTATATTTACAACTTAATAATAACTGCTTCTTTAATAAATGATCAAAAACTGGGACATTTATCTTGAGTGACAAATAAGATGAGGATGTCTTAATGATATTATTATGACTTCTGTATGTCAACAAAGAAATCAAAATGACTTCTTAACGTCAGTAAACAGTTTTAAAATCATCATTTTGAATAAGAAATAAAATTTTGTGATAAAAGTCAAAATGATGAATAAAATTTTGTCATTTTGATTTTCTCTAATTGACTTGATGTGCTTCTTGGGCTTAGAGAACTAGAATTATAATTATTTGACGATGAGATTGAAGTTCTTTAAGCTTGTATTACCAAACTCTCACCTGCGAGATAGGCGGCTCAGGACGGAGGACGATAGTGGAGGGTGGTGCCTCGAACGCCGCAGGGGTGGGTGTATAATAACCGGATAGATTCTGTTGCTGTCTCTGCGGTGCCCGGTCGTATGGATCCTGGGAGTGCTGCTGAAAAAAATGTAAAGGGCACAGTGATAAAGATTCGCCCACCGTCGCGAGTGTGTCACACCCACGCGAAGACATTTACGACCGTACCAGTTGCTATCCTGCAAATCTTCCGCTATCCTCGCTTGGCTAAAACCGTCTCACGCCGCATAATTCTGAGTGCATGGATTCTGAGTGCGAGAGACAGAGAGGAAGAGCAGCATGCGTAACTAATAATATATCTCTCGCATAAACAACAACGGCGACGATGCTTCTTACATCCAAGATCGCAAGCAATTGCCATGTGTCATCTTCTTTCTTACCGCTCATCTTCTTTCTCATCGGCTCTTCTTCCAAAATTGCGGAGGACCGACCATCAGCCACGTTTATGCAAGCATCACCTACCTGCCAAGGCTGAGTCTGCTGTTGTTGTTGTTGCTGTTGGCCCGGTAATAGGGGATGCTGCTGAGAGAGCGGCGAGGTTGCCGGGGGTGTCACGGGCGTCCAGCCTCTGAGGTTCTGTTGCTGTTGGAAGTGCGAAGGCTGTCGCAGGAGCGTGCCGCCAGGACTGATCGGCGATGGGGACGACGGGACGGCGCTCTGTGTCGACGACCGTGCGACCGTCGAGGACGGTTGGGGTGACGGACCCGATGAGAGACTACTCTGGTACGAGCCGAATTCACCGTACCCACGGGTCTTACCGGAGGGGAAAACAGATAATTTTGTAGGCTCGAGCGAACGCACGGACTGGTGTCGTCCCAAAAAAAGAGAGAGAGATGGTGCGCGAATATTTGCGAGAAATAACTCGATAAATATTGGATCATCTAAAAACCGCGGATACTTTTTAGATGACCCAATATAATCCTTGTATGCCTATATTATTTATTTAAATTATTTCTTTCGATATACTGGTCATTATTAACACTATTTGCATAATAAAAAATTAGAAGCTGATAATTTGGATAAATAGAACGATAAGAAGATTTATAAAATTGATGTATAAAAAAATGACCATCGGAGTTAATAAAGCAGAGAGATCAGTTATTTGAATCTCGAATTAAGAATCTAAACTTGTATCATTATATGTAAAATATTTACAAAAAAAATATTTTTATACAAGTAGAAATCAATGAATGTAGAAAAAATTGTTTTGTTGAAGTATATTTAAATTAACTAGATGCAGAAAATAATTTTGTTCGACTGTCAAAATAATTATGTAGAACATTCAAACTGCTAATAAGGGTAAGACTAACTTTTTACATCGAATTAATTCATATTATTCTCGATTATTCAGATTAAAAATTTTTCAAAATCTGTCCGCGATTCGCTCGAGCCAAGCATCGTCGGTTTTATCAAAAGAGACCAATGCACCAATTTGACAATCTATCGTTTTCTTTTTCGCTTCCTGCAAATAATTAATCGGTAGACCTGCCTCGACGACCGCAATGGGCGGATTCGCGTGTTTAAGAAATACGATATTCGGATGTCGCTTTGTATAGTAAACTTTCTAACGATATCGATATTCATTGCGTGCACGAGTGCGAGTCAGAGATGGAACGACATGTCGTATCGATTTTTCGTTTAATAAAACAATAATATATAAAATATTGATTGTTATAATTGCTACAATTGTTACAAAGTTTTATTTTATTCTTTGTTAAAGATAACTATTTCAGTCGATTTTTTTATTTGCAGCATAATTATTCCGCGATTTAATGACAATTAAAAAAAAATTGCTTGAAATCGATTTCAATTTTATCGAAGAATAAACCAGCTGATCAAAATTGCTGACTTTAGAGACTTGAGGTATATATCGCGTATTTGTTCTCCATCTCTGCTCCGAACGAAATAGGACTGATATACATACACAAAGAGGAACGAGCGTGAACAATACATAAAAGAAACACGTAACGAACGTTGCATTCACACGCATGGCAAGATGCAGGAGAAGCTATCGCACTAAATGGAAATAAAAAATATTACGAAAAAAGAATGCATACAACACGTAGACATTCAAAAGTATATCCGTGTTCTTTCGGAGATTTTTGAAAATGTCATCGATTTAATTATTTCATTATATGCTCGTCTATATTCTCATTTCGTCTATATGAACTGATGAGTGTTCTCTTTAAATTCTTCGGAGTGAGATTTCATTCTTTTGGAGTAAAATTTACTTCAAAGAATTTAGAGTTGCTACGCTAACAACAAAAAAGGCAACAGGTCTTCATGGATCAAAATTTGATTTCAACATTTTTGCGATAAAATATTACATCTTAATACATTAATTTGTTTCTTGTCAATATTTTATCATCATTTCGCTGAATTTATATTACCATTCGAAAAATAAGAGTTGCAAATTTTGTTTGTCATTGCCTTTTGTCTTATTGAAGCAGCGTAAAATGGTGGGACAACGAAATCTGATTCTTTAGCGCGAAAATATGTACACACGTATCTAATTATCTGTTATATTACCTTCGCTTGGACGGGAGCTTGCTCGATGTAGTCGAAGTCTTGATCTTCTGGAGGCGGTGGCCAAGCTACTCGTTTGAGACCTAGGATAATAATAGAGTTTCGTAGAGACAAAGATCGGTTTGGCGAGGTATGAAATTTCTTAGTTTATGACTGCAATATATCTGTGTTAATCAGTTAGATTTGGACAAATTCGCTTGAATTATAACATACAGATATATAAGTTCTTTAAAGATGAAATTTTAACATTAAAAGTACTGGAGTGATCATCACTCTGTTGACCGTTTCTATTTTTTAAATAATTAAAATTATTTTTTATATAAAATATAGGATTCTGAAACTTTTTGACTTTCCTATAATTATATTGAAAAAATATTTTGTTTTTCATCACTTTCTTTATTTTCATAATAATTCGCCTTTAAGAGTAAGAAATCTTAGTACTTTTAGTATTAAACAGTTTACGAGAGGATAAAAAATGATATTTTTTAATACCGATGTCCTTTTGTAGATTAATATAAACTTGAGAAAAATTGATAGAAAATAGATAAAAAAAGAGTCACTCATTTATCGTGTCACTAACGTCATCAATCACCAATGTCTCGCATATTCATTTAATCGCATTCATTTTTATCGTCATCGAACCACCATCATTGTCATCAATTTTTGTCAATGACGCACTTGATCCAACTTTATTCACACGATGGATCGCAGCGATGTCGCTCTTTCCGCAAAATTTCTTTCATCATTCCGTCAAAATAGTATCTCTAACGAAATGCACAATTCCGATTTAACTGTGTCACGTAGCTCTCATATCATATATCGATCGCGAGTACCGCGAGCGTGTCGCAACAGGCAGTCGAATATTATGACATCCATATGGGGCCGCGCATCATTAATCGCGCAAAATGCGAACGCATATTTTCTGGCAACTAATAAACCCTGGACCCTATGCGTCCACATACCGATGCGATCCCAGCGAGCTCGCTGGTTCAGCCGCTACGGCGATCAGGAACGCGACTCTGCCAAAACAGGCACCCGCCAACTACTAAACGCTATGCGGAGTCACCTGTATCTTTCGTTATCGCGGAAACTAGCTGGCTACCGATTTTAGAGCCTTTCTGGTGACCAGCCAAAGAGTGGGGCTTGACATTGTGCCCGATCAGGGTGGGGCAGCGTCCTTCTCTGTTAAATCTACAGCGTGAAATTTAACTTAATTTAAGTCGCTACTGCTCTTACTAAATATGTCGTTATTTTATATTAAAACGATTGTTAAATTTGACACTGTACAGGGTGTTTCCTCTAGCTTGATCATTTAAAATATCTCCGTTATTTTATATGTATATATATATATATATATATATATATCATTTATATAAATTAATATAAGTGGACTCTCGTTTTAATAGTAAGCCGTTTATTCTCAGCGAATTTAGCATCGAAAATCGCGCGCTTGACATTCGAACACAATGATTCTCCGCTCTAATTGAAGACAACTTTTGGGCGATGAATCAATGCGGCGTGTTTCACAAAGAGGATCTTTCTCGAACACAACGCACGCGGTGTTCGGACGGAGGTGCTCGTGTGTTTTGCGAAAACACGTTGCTAATCTGGTGAACTCGTCTTTGAGTCGTGGCCAAAGAGTAATGGTTGTATCATGCTAAATTGAAAACGTGTTGCCAACGATAGCGGTATTAACTCAAGGAGCTGATGTCGTTCCAGATCAGGTGATCGATGACTGATAATATTTGCATCTGTAACTCATCATCTTAAAGTTCTTAAAGGGAATCTAAGTTGTCTATTTTATTATTTTTCAAATAAGTATTTTTTTAACTGCTTTAATATATACACAGATTTAAAAATTCTTTTCTACGCCCACACAATTACAGTATAAATAGTACTTTCTAATAGTATTCGTCATGGTAATGAATATCTACCATTATAATGAATTTTTACTAAGTCGGCCTGTTCTGTGTTATCTTACTGTGCGTTTCTGATTCTATCAAGAACATTCTAGAATTTTGTTAACATTTATAACTAATGTCTAATTTTAAATAACTGACTATTATTGTATTAAATTAAAAATTTTCAATTAATATTAATAATGATCTGCTTGGATCGAAACATATGTCTGTTTTTATTATTGTATTGTTATTTATTATTATTGTAATATACATATATTATTATTACATGTCATTAAAATTTTTAAATATTCGATAGGCTCGTAGCCTTTGTCATTATTATTATTTAATTTTATTGAGCTTATTATAATTTTAAAGTATCAATGGTAATGTTATCTAAACTGATCAATTTTATGCCAAAAAAATAGTTGAAAAATGATAGTTTTGTTATTAGCTACGCTCAGTAGAAAAGCAGTTTTGCAACTGTTGTAAAATTCTTTAATATGATTGGCCTTGCCTTTAGTTCCTTTCTCTTGGATCATAATAAATAAATCAATCATATTACAAAAAATTCCACAACAGTAAACTGTTTTTACTATTGAACACAGCCATTGGCTTCTGGCATCGATTCGTAACAATATTTGCTTTATATCTCTCTCTTGTACGAATAAAACAATCTTGGTTTGGAATTACATGAACAATGTTGAATTCTTAGATTTAGGCTCAAATACCTAATATGAAAGATTAGTTAGAAAATTTGTATATATGTGTGTACGCAATATTGATGTATCAATGACAAATCGTAAATCGTATGTGTGTAACTCTTACTGGATCCATAAAATTGATGACTTTAGGATCCCCTGAAGACTCAGATAATACACTTTAGCCTAAATTGAATGCAAATTTGTCCGAGGAAACAGGTCGACCTAAATTCATATTAAAGTCGACGGCATACGATGCTTGCTTTTCTGCTGGATTGCTAGCTGACCTAGATTCTTGTCACTGTATTAACTACGATGCGGGCATTATCAATACGATGGCAAGATTCTGATCCAGCTAACAATTTCCAGCAGGAAAACAAGCATCGAATTCCGCCGACATAAATATCAGTCACATTCTTTTGATGTCAAATTATGGACATCAAAAGAATGTTATGATCTTTCTAATTTTAATTTTGAGTTACTTTCTGGGAATATGTAAATTTCGAAGAGGCATGTCTTCACTTACCAGGTTGACCACCGCGCTGCCTCGCTTCTTCTTCTTCGAGCATACGTAGAACGGCGCTATTCTGCAAGTTCGCTGGCTTGGCCAACTGACTAAAGTCGATCCTGGAAAGAGAGATTTCCACGTTTAAGCTCGGCTTAATAATATTTCGAATGCTACAAAAACATCCATATGAATAAAATGAAATAATTGCTTTCGCTTTTACTTCTCGGAAAATAATGTTGCGACAATTATGAATGAAATTCTATGTTTACTTTAATGCTTAAATGATATGAAGTATGCATTACAATTTTTCTGCAAATTTATATGAAAAAAAAAACATGTTAATTCTGACAATAATGACGTTTATAAACAAGTATTTTAAAATATAAAGTCGATTTTTTATTACAATAAAAAAAAAATATGGAAAATTTTTGCTTCATACACTGAACAAAATTTTCTGATTAAACGAACAAAAGGAAATGTATTTTGATGAAAACAAATAGAATTTCTAATTATTATAATCAGAAATTCTGCTCATATCAAAATGCTATATTTAGGGCAAAATGCCTTTGTTGATTTAATTAGAACACTTTTTCAGTTTGCGTTTATAAAAACTACGAATTCGCAAAAAAGAAGAAAAATTCAAGCTCACGAAAAAGAAGATTCAGAAGAAGTCTGCAAGATCTTAAGGACTGAAAATTGATGGTCACCTTTTCGTGGCGATCATCTTGACAAGAGGTAATCCTGAAGTGGCAAGAATAATAGAAATAACGATTACAATAGTGAAGAAGAACGGAACAGCAAGCGAACCGGCGCGCATCCACGGTCCATCAAACGCGAAACTAAGTCAAGTACGAAGACGAGACGCGGCGATGCAAGCCGTCGGTTTCGCGCAGGCCGGTTATTTCCAACCGGCCGGTGATTCGGTCCGCCGAAAATAACTGACGTTGCGAACGGAATCAACGCCGTCGGCTGATTCATGCGACCGGCGTCGTCGAATGACCGACTGACATCGGCCGATATACGGACGATTGCATGACACCACGTGGACCACAAGCTGATGATTGACGCAAGGTGGTCGCCGGGATTTAAATCAGATTCCCCACGCGGTTTTGCTCGTGAGTCATCCGAGTCGATTGACGATTCACTTGTGGGATCTGAACTAGGTTTATTTGATTCGGACTAGGTCAAGGAGTAGTGTTGTTTAGGATGAAATAAAGAGTCTAACAGAGTGTAATCGCGTTCCTGAACGCGATTTTATCAAAATCCTATATGAGAAAAAAAGGTATAGTCTTCGTATACGTGATGTGGCAATAAAATTCGAATGTTATGAGAAAGTAAACACACCACTTAATTAATATATAAACCTTTATTGTCTTTCAAAGGAATCTCCCCTAAAGATAATACATTTTCGATAATGTTCGTGTAGCTGCGGAAGCTCTGAAAGTTCCGCAAGCTATATGAACATTGTCGGAAATGTATTGTCTCTAGGGAGAATAATAAAGGTCATTTATGTTAATTAGATTTTCAAAAATATTTATTGCCAAACTTTATTGCCACACCACTCATTCTAACTTATAAGAGTATCACCCTTTAATATTAATTAAAATTACGTAGTGAGACAGTATAAGTTAAAGTGAGATAGTATATACAATACCTTCTTCTCTTGTGAGATTTCAACAAAATTATTAGTAATCAGATTCTGTTATAGGACCTTTATAGACTGAAATAAATAAAATAGTACGCAATGATTTGACGCATCTCATGAAACTGATAATGATTATTCTAAAATATTAAAAAAAATAAATATTCATTCGATAAATCAACGATTATAATATGTTCATTGTTGGAAAGTGATTGCTATTACAGAATAGAAATAAACTCCGTTTATCTGCATTTCATTTATGAACAAGTTTGTGCTCAATTCTAAATATACGAACTTATAGCTGAGCTTTTATGATGCTATAGATTGAATAGTAGGAGCTCGATTTTAGTTTTCTAAACGTCAGCTGTTATTATTGGAATTAATAAGTACTGATAAAGAAAAAAACAAGTGAGTTTATATTATTTGAACTATTCGATTATTATCAGAACTGTCTTGTTCCTTGACATGTTCAGATAAATGGAGTTCTATTGTATTGTAAAAATTCATTTGTAAATGTGAATTTTTATTTTATTTATTGTATTTCTATTGTTTTATTTAGTAAATTACTACTCAAACAATTACTACTCAACAAATTACATTTGTTATTTCTCTCTTTTATTTGATACAACTTACCCGACTGCACCGTTAGCCAGAACTTGAGTCTGTCTATCTAGAGTTTCCTGTATCGTCTGTGGCGAATACAAATTGATAGGAGAGTTGAATTGTTTATTTACAAATTTCGCTTTCTGCGTGGCCATGTTGGTGCCTTAATCAGTCTACTCTTGAGTTTATACTGTAACATAAAAAACATCATTATAGAAAAAAAATTATGTACGTAATTATGTATGTAAAAAAAATGTAAGGTGCTTAACATTTTAGACGTCTAAGTTTTAATGTCTAATATTTAATAAAAAATAATTTGTTATTAATTATAAGGTACGAGTATTTATGTAATATACATAAAAATTAAATATACAAAAAATGGAAAGAGATCATCTATATTTAACGTTAGATTTTTTTCGGCGAAAGTTGTCAATAACGTTAAACCGCAAATAGAACTATTTAATAAATCGTCATAAAGAATTACAATCATTAATTTATCATGATGCGATAGCGACGAATTTACATGACGAACGATGCACTTCTTTGCTTCATGTATATTTCAATTCGATCATAAATCGTGCGAAGCTGAAGAGTGCAATTTTAGTAAGTGGATCACGAACTATCGTTTCCTGTGATCTTTTAATGATCATTCAGCGATTGTTTGGCTACTCAATTCCGTGAGATGCGATCGATGCCGTCAATCTGTGGTCGGATTCTGTGGTCTGATAGAAAGCGTGGCATTAAATTTCCGGTCTCGTGCCAAGAAATTCGTGCAGGGACGCATGCGTTAAAAGATATCGCGCGTTTAAACGAAGGAGGAAAAAATAAAATGTTTCTTGTCCATGATTCAGAGAAAAAGATAATAGTGACAACTTTTACAAGTTTTATATGTAAAATTAATGTACGTTAAATTATGCAGTTACTACAATTATAAATAGTGTAGAGTGTAGACTATGTATATTAGTTTATAGTATAACGTTATGTAGCAAATAAACAAATATTATGAAGCGATACTAGAAGTCGATAACATTAAACTGTAATTTTCCAACTCTTTCTCGCTTTCGGCATAAAGTGAAACACGGATTGAATTATATATTATACTTATTTATACTTGTTTATACTTGTGAAAAAGGGATTAAATATGTAAAAGAAATTAGAAAAATATTTATTTGAAAAATAATTGGTAAAATACACAAACAACTTTAAGATCCTTAACGTCGGGAAATTTTTAAATCCAGGAAATCTATAGAGTGGAAACGCGAAGACCATATTATAATAAAAAAAGAATCTGGTTGCAATTGGAGGGTCTCTAATTATATTTCTAATTAACTATATAATTCTAATATCATTAAAACATTCTGATTCATTCATTTTTAACTAGAAATTTTTCTGATGTAAAAGTGTTAATAACTTTATAGACGTTTGGGAAATTTTTTGAGCATCGTTAGAGAAAATATTCGGAGAAATATTTGAATAGTTCCCGATTCTTAGGAACCATCGTGGTAAAATCTTTTTTCAAGGTTTCCCGTTCAAATTTATCGAGGTCGTGAATGCTTAAAAACGGAATTATGACGCCCATTCTTACCTTGATACACACCCTTGACGAGATTCCCCTCCCCCCTGCCACTATGCCGAAATAAAAAAATGCATAGTTCAGAATTTGGAGCAATTTATGAGCTTTCAAATCCAAAAAAAAATTTTTTGAGCTTGTCCCGATTAGAAGGAATCTTAATTTAAAGGTGGGAGGGAGGGAGGAGGCTGAGAGGATGTTCCCCGTCACTCAAAATTAACAATAGGAAATTGTTCCTAAGCTCAGAATTAGGAGCTCTTCATGAGCTCTTAAATCAGCTTTTTCGATTCTCTCTCTCTCTCTCTCTCTCTCTCTCTCTCTCTCTCTCTCTCATCCTCAAAACAACCCCAAAACTAGTCCACAATCAACAGGTAAGTCATTGAAAATAGGACTATACCTAAAACTTCATTAATGAATATGATTCTGGCATAAATCTAATATAAAAATATATAATTCTTAATTTTTGAGCTGCAACCCCTTATCAGGAAAACTACCCATTGCCCTTTTTTTGTGCAAGAAAGAACTATGTTTATTTTCTCCCTCTAGAACATCTCTCTTGCAAGAAATGTGAATGGCGTAGTTTTCCTGCTAAGGCGGGTTGTAGCTCGAAAATCGATTTGTTTTTATTTCGCGAGTTCGTAAATCAGCAGATAAATTCCTATCATATAAAACTTATTTTCTTATACTGGAACATAATTCTCTCTTACGTGAAAAATGTGTGGGGTGATTTCCTTGTTAAGAGGTTGCTGATCGAAAATCGATTTCTTCGTATTTCGGAAGCTCCTGTCTAAGCAGGTAATTTCTCATCATTAAATGACTTATTTTCTCTCATTCTAGAACATATTTCTCTCTAGTGAAAAGGGCATGGGGCGGTTTTCCTGCTAAGGGAGAGTGCAGCTTAAAAATCTATTCGTACATATTTCAAAAGCTATTATATATATTGCAGATAATTTCCAATCATTAAACGATTTATTTTTTCATACTGCAACATAGTTCTCTCTTGCGAGGGGACTCTTAAGAGGGCAATATAAACTAATTTTAGGAATAAGGGATGGATCTCGAAAATCGAAAAAGCACTGATTTAAGAACTCACAAAGAACTCTTAAATTCTGAGCCTAGGAGCGATTCCCTATTGTTTTAAGAGGAAGGAGAGTGGATGTTCACTCAGCCCTTCCCCCCCTCCCACTTTTAAATTAAGATTTCTGCTAACTGGAACAAAATTTTTTTTGCAGAGTTTGGAAGCTCATAAATTGCTCCAAATTCTGAGCTATGCGTTTTTTATTTCGGCATGATGGGGAGGCCAACTGAACAAGAGTTTGATACTCAATATTTGCTATAAACGTCTTATTTTTTTCTCTTAAAGAAACAAATTGAGTACGTTTCATTAAATGCTTCTCTTGCCGAAATTGCAACGATCTATTTTTATTGCATTTTCCTTGCGATCTCTTACGCGTTTCACATTTTATTCATAACTTGGAACGTATTTATATCTCCTAATCGTAAATACGAAATGCCGTTCTCATGTTTCTCCACTGAGTATTTCATATAATTTAATTGTATAATAAGACATTTTTATGCCACAAAATCACTCGCGGCAATAAATTTTCAAAATAATTGCACATTATATTGTTATCCTTGTATACGTTCAACATTTCCAAAGAAAATTGGCAATAAATGTTCATCCATATTATTGTCAATCAAATTTAATCTTAAAAAGCTTCTAAGAACGCTTGCTTACTATTTCAACAGAAATTATACCAAATATTTTATTTAATTTAAAAAATAAATCTTTAAAAACTGAATAATAAATAAAATGTCTTTCTTTACTGATTCGATTACACAGACCTAGTTTAATACCCGAAAACCTCAGATTCTCGCTGACGCGTCCCTGCTGGGCGGCCACCGGTGCCTACCGCGGTTATTTTTGCCTACAAAATTCCTCCGAATATATCTACATCGTCCGCAAAATCTCTACTTCTCCCCCCTCCTACACCAGCTAGTCTTTGGAGCCCATTTCTCGTGGGTCGTATTGAATTACATTAAAGCTCTTACGCCGCGATAAAAAAACGACCGGCATCGATGTCGATCTAACAATAGCATGTATCAACCGGCGCTGTCGTTCAATGCCGAGGTTGAATTCGTCGCAATGTTTTCTTGCTAATAATAAGAATCGTAAATTACCACGTAAGCTTTGAAATAAATACTGAAGGATTGGTCTTATCTCTCGTCGAGATAAACTTTAATATTCAATTCTTATCGATGTCGAATTCTAAGAATTAGAAAAAGATAAACAATAACAGAAAATTTGATTAGACGCACTCAGTATGCATTTTGGTATATTAAACCGTCGTTCACAAATTGATCGGTGTAAAGATATGTATAATTTAAAATAAATACAAAACCTGGTTGAACCATTTTTCTAATTTTTAGAACTAGGGAAAAATAAAGAGTTAATTAAACCAAGATTAATATTAAATTCTATTGATAAAAATAGAAAAACGACTATGAAAAACATATCTTGTTGAATTAATTGGAATTTTGATTGAAAATGGGTGAATCAAAATTTTCTAGTTAAATCTACTAAATTCTAGTTGAGATAATTGGAATTCTGATTGATATAACCTTTTAATTTGTCCATTTTCAACCAGATCTTTTTCTAATAAAATCTGCAGTCTTAAAGATTAAATCACTAAATGTTGGGGTTGTCAAAAGATTTAAATTTAACGGCGCAAGCTGATCGGATGCTTGAAGTGAAGTTTTCTTTCGAAAATCCGTGAAAATATACGGGGATAGCTTTCGTTGTCTGTCGGAATCCACGGGGACCGGCCGGTTTCCTTTACATAACTCGCATCTATTCCAAGCTGCGGCATTTGGATGACGGCGTTTGCTCGGCCGCGTCGAAACTGGTCGAAATCCACTTCGACTACTTTACGCGTACATCGTGGCAGATTCCATTAAGAAAAAAATCGTATAATATTAATATGCGATATAATACAGATTCCTTGAAATTCTCGATCGTTTATCATGGAAGAGACAGCACGAAATCAATAAGCGCCGATATTTGGTCGCTGAATAAATACGACAATGCTGTATGATTTCTCAGAGATGCAATTGAAAAGCTTGGCTGCAACAAAGCAAATGATATAATATTATAGACATATAAGATTGAAAGTGACTAAAATGATCAACTGGATTATAGTGAAAAAAAAACTATGCCGCATTAAAACGCAATATTTTAAGATTAATATGTTTTCATAATACGGAAATTATTTGCAATATGAATTAATAAAAAGAAGTGTTAATAACTGCTTATTATTCTTGTAAATTCGTTACCTATAATGTTTCCATATCTAAGTATTATCATATTATATTACATATTATTTTTCCATATAAATTTATATTACATCTATTATTTGTAAGTATAATATATTTTTATATCTCACAAATTATGTCACTATATACATATGTATATATTATATTAATATACATATTTCTATTATTTTTATATTTTCATAATGCAAATATTGTGTTGAGATAATATATTTACAGAAGTGCAATTAATGCTATCCGAGCATGCAGAGTTTTTCTTTCACTACAATCCATTTTAGTCACTTTCAGTCTATCTTATGTGTGATAAAATACTGGACTAATTGCATTTATTTCGTATCTGCTTTTGATTAAGAAGAATGTAATATTCGACACCTTTTTTATACACTTGGCGTATATTTGTTTTTTTTAGGGATTTCATTACTTTTTGTAAATTTTTGAAAACGTAATAATATAGAATTTAAATCTTCTAAAAAGAGAGAAAATAATAATAATAATAATAATAAATTATACTTATTGAGTATTTAATAATATATAAAAATAAAAAATAAAAATCAATTGCTTTCCTCCTTTCCACTCTTTCTCTCTTTTTCGCTGTCGTACTCTCTTCCCTTCTCCTGCCCTAAGGGAGGCTGGCAGGGCTCGCATTTTCCACATTGCATGTTGGGAATACTGAAGGACAATAATTCATAATTGCCTTTATAATCCTCGTGCATGCAACGCGGGCGATGCGATGGCAGTTCATTTATTCGATCTCCTCTCTTTTGTTAGTTTTGCCTCCACTTTTTCTCGCCTTTTCTCATTCTCTCTCTCTCTCTCTCTCTCTCTCTCTCTCTCTCATTCTATCACTATTTATCTCATGTACGTTGATAATTATTACACATGTATATGTATTAATGTTCACTTGTATTGTAATTTTAATATAATATTATTTGAATGAAGGCATTTTGGGCGCATCCAGAGGACTCAATAATTGAATGAGTGCTCGCTGTTATTGGAGTGTTCTTTTAGCTCTCTAAAATTCTGATTGAATGAAAGAATACACCAATAACGCTCAACCGTTGAGTAGGCTGAATGCACCCATTGTGAAAAGCAGAATTGATAAAACGCTTTATATGTATGCGTGTTATATTTATACGTGTGACAATATCTGAAAAAATCTGAAAATCTGAAGTAATCTCTTTTTGGAACTCGATTTGCAGATCGACTGCACACTAATATTATTACATCAATATCAATATGTAATATTAATATTATAAAATATTGTTATCAACATAGGATATTGATTAATATTCTGTGTTGATAACAATAATATCCTATATTGATATTGCATATTGATATTGATATATATTGATATAATATGATGTAGTAATATTGATATTACAATCGGATTGGGAATTAATATTACATGGAAGAGACGATGACAATTTTTGCGCATTGCGAAATTATATTCGTCAGTATGACGCACGACGTATCGTCTATTTTTGACCGATTGTTTCAACGATACGGTGCAACGTTGCGTTCAAAACAACTTTTGGCCGTTCGCGATATGTTGTGACGGATTCACCCGCGACGGTTTAAAGAGCGATGTGAATAGACGGGGCGGCGCGCTGAGAGAGCGTTGTCGTGTAAATTTCAATCACCACCTCATTTGCAAGTCGCAGCATACTGACGAGATACGTATTGACGGGACGTCACACGTTTTTTGGCTGAACTCTACAAACAATGCCTCGCTGATTCACGTCTAGTTTAATTTGAGAATGTAGTAATATAAATGATTTCTTCGTGATATAATTAATTATTGTGCTTTACAGTTCATTTACTGTTGTTTATAACGTGCTGCTCGATTTAACGATTTAATTACATGAAGATATAATTTATATATGAAGATATAATTTATGTGCACACTAGAATAGAAATTAAATTTTCCTGATTTTATTTGAATATTTTATGCTGATTAGAATCATAAATTGTGCAGTTTGCCGAAGAACTGAAGAAGAAAAAAGAATCAGCAATTAAATCAATCTCATTGTAGATCATTATTAGAAGAACTGATCATTTCTGTCCCCGTTAATTGTAATTGATGGCAACGACGGCTTGGCCTAGTTTCTCATGACAATTAAGCGGTTAAATGCCAAAATAATTGAGTACGGCATTCACGTTGTCAATAATAATAAGACAGGTAGTACGATCGATTGATTCTAATGCGAAGGAAAAGAATGCAATTTATTACTGAATTTTTTTCCCAAACTATAATTGTAGGCTAGATTTTCTATTTACTTTTTGATCCTCAATTTTCCACATTTTTTAATTTCTACATCATTTAATTTTTTTTTTGTTTTTCCACTCACGTTTTTCTCACATTTTCTTATGAATTTTTCACTTCCCTCTGCATTACCTGCATTCTCTTTCTTACGCCTCTGTTCGCCTTTCGTTCTATCTCCTTCATTTATTACTTCCTCGGTTTTTCCTGTCTCACCTGATCTCTCGTATCCTTGTTTCTCGCGAAACGCGATCGATGACGGAGATTTCAATGCATGATACAAGAACGCGGCACCTACCTTCGCGCTGTTATACGTGGAGTACGCGGGTTCTCCTCGGGTGGCGAAACACACTGGACCCTCGGAAAAGCGAAAGCACCGGAGAGCAGCAGAAGACAACTGTCGTCGGTCCCCTCCCTCACCCGGAACCGCCGAAATCGTGGACGGTTCCCTCGACATCTTCCTCCGCTGCAGTTATTTTCGACTCCCGAGATCTCTGTTTCTCTCCCTCTTCGATGCTCGCGGTATTCGGCGGATTTCCTGGCAATCAGGAAAACTCTCACCCGCGTGTCGTTTCTAAAAATTTCATCTAATATAAGTGATCTACGTAATTGGAAGAAACACCGCTGCCGATCGGCGACGATTTATTTTTAGTAAAAACATATCACGAGAAAAGAATTTAAAGAACTTTTCTCACTCTTTCATAAACAATTGAGCGCTTTCGCAATAAGTAATAAAATTGAGCCAACTTTTTATATATTTTATGCGCAGATAAAACTAAAAACTTGACAAGAGATTTCATAGTTTAGAATTTATGACAGCAGTCTTCTTAAAGATATTAATAATTTGATTCTATATAGATATGTGTTATGTTAATAAAATATTAATTATTACGTTATTAATAATTTTTACAATATTATATTAGGTGTTGGAATTAATTCGTAGCGTTTTTTAATGAAAGAATGTTATTTATTTCACATGAGCATTAAAAAATACATTAATGAAAGTACTTCCCATCACTTGTAAAACGCTACGAATTAATTCCAACACCTAATAAATAATAATTTATTATACTAAGGAAAATTATCAATTTAAGATATTTAACGCTCGCAACGCTCTAATTGTAAAAATAATTTCATCCTTTTTGTTGATCAAATATTACATAAACAAAAACAAATGATGTTTGATCATATTGCGAGCTTTAAGTGGCATCTTCAATTATATAATTAAAAATTGTAATTATCTAATTCATTGACTCTAATTTTTTTCTGTATATAAATTAAAAAAATAATAATTCTTTCTAATCTGTTGTGGAAACATCTAACAATTTTTTCACGTATTAATTATGGAAGGTCTATATTTAATAATTATCTTAGTGATAGCATTCCTTATGATTTAATGAAGAACAGGAGAAAAGAAACGGATGTGTATCTATGTAATATCCACATTCGATAACTCCGAAAAGTTATATTCGTCGAATATCTGGCGCATAACATTGTCGAGTGTTACGCCGCGGACAATTACCAGCGTTCGCAGCCGGTAAATTCTACGCTTTGTGTAACTCGTATCCCTCTGCTAACGTAAATGAAAATAAATCTGTTTGAAGTGACATCGTGCTTCGCTTTGTTTCCATGATTTGTTCCGGTCTGTTCTGGAGCGAAATGCGATACAATTCCCATGATGTTTAGCTCTCGACGTTTTCTGACATTGCGGTTGAAAGACACTGAAATTAGAGTGTGGTATTACAATGGTGCTATCAGAAGATAATCTATCTTTTATCAAAAAACAAATATAATGTTATATGATATTTATCCATAATCTGAACGAAGTTCATTGACGATGAAAATTTCTTGAAGTAAATTGATATAAAAGTATTCCAAAGGATTAATGGATTAATAAACTTATTATAATAAAAGATAAAATTATTAATTAAAATGTGTCTTTTAACAAATAAAAAATAAAAAATTGTGAATTTAATAATATTTTGTGAATTTAGTATTTCTTTGGAGACAGAGAGAGAGAGAGAGAGAGAGAGAGAGAGAGGGGGGGGGGGGGGGGGGAGCAGAGAAAAAGAGGTTAATTTTACAAAATTATTCAATTGAATATTTATTAAACTGAAAGAGAGACAGAAAGAAAAAAAGAGTGAATTCTTAAGAAAATATGTACGAAAGATGAATAAAGTTTTGCTTTGTACTTCTCATTGAAACATTCATTTATATTTCCAAAGATATTTTAAGTTTCATCTCCGGAAACAGGTGTTCACAACGAGTGCTTCTGCTTGAAAACATTGGGGAAGCAACTTCAACCAAGCTTCAAATCGATTACAAGCAGAATTACATAAAGTAAAATTTTTAACTATACATATAATTCGTAGTCTCTAATTTTTCTATATATTAAACAATAAAGGATTAATAACTCTTTATTAATAAAATGATTTGATATATAAAATTGATCAATTAAATTAATCGGAATTTAATTGACGGCCTTCAAAATAATTTTAACGCTAAAATTGTTTAATATAAAACAATTCTAATATTATTATTCTCAGAGCGACTTTGATAAATTAATTTCTGATTAACTTAATCAGTGAATTGCTTAAAACAAATTTTTTTATTTAATTTTATTTTCCTAATCTAATATTTTTTTATGTAAAACAATAGAAAAATTAATAACTCTGTCCAAATATAAGTACAGTTTGAAAAGTTGATTATCAATTAAATTAATTGGAATTCAAAAAAAAGTAATTTTGAGTTATTATAAAGTCATGCATGTAATATTTGCTCAATTTGTCTTCCCCAATAATTTACTTCTTATTGAGATGATCGTATAATTGATCATGATTCGATATTATTTATTTTTATTATCCTACGATATTGATATGATAGTTACTAATGAAATCATAGTGTTCAGTTGTTAGCAACTTCCACGGCCAGTTATTCGTACCACTTCGATTTCTACATTACCGTCTCGGGAAAAAGATCCGTGTCTGCAAGCAATTATGCTGCTGTTCCGAATCTAACCCTTTCGTATGCAGCGTAATTTCATGACAGTGGCGTTTCAAACTAAAAAAAAAAAACATACGTTAATTAAAATCTTGCAAAATCATAATCTCTCCTGTATTGAAAATTACGCATTGATGATTTCATAAAAACATGTATCAAAAGTAGAATCCGCTAATTTTGATTATCGGTGTGTCGTACTTCTGCTGGTGATAATAATCTACGTTTAACAGTTTCGACAGCAAAGTCCTTTAACAATATAACACAAGAATCGAATAATTTGATATCACTAATTTTCACAATTTTCACTTTAAGGCAATATTGATCAAATTTTAATTAATTTATAATCGAGTATTATTAAGTAATATCTGTACTGTTTTAATTTATATTAAGCACTATCTGTGCTATCTCTTAATTTATATTATATTAACTAATATCTGTCTAATATAAATAGAATTATTAATATCTATTTTGTTACTTCATGTTTGGAAAAAAGGTCATCGATTATTACTTATCCGAATATTTAGAGATAACTCTGATTAACGAACTTCATTTGACTTAATTGGTAATTATTTTATTCAGTGGTATCTGTATTATTTTATTATCATTAACAGAATTATATTAATTCTTTTGTTTAATATGTGAAAAAATAGACAAATAGATTCAATATTAATTCTGCTAATAGGATTAATCGCTGAACTAAAATTCGATTCAAATGTTGTCTTACATTTATTTCCACTAATATAGATTAAGTTTAATTACAGTTTAATTTATTCTTTATCTTTTTCTAATGTTTAGAAAAAGATAAAAAGTAAGTTAAATAAATTATAGTTAATGGACATTAAATAAATTAATCTAAATTGGTAGAAATGAACATTAGAATGTTAAACGTTCGAATTATCGTTCCTTTGGATCTTTCTGATACATGTACCCCTCCATTGTTTCCATTGTCAATGAGGGTTATATGTATCAGAAAGATTAAAAGTATATATATCGACGGATAGACCGAGTTCTGCATTTAAATCCGCTTTACGTGAGTCATAGCTCCCTCATTATCGATTTGGAAACGGCTTCACCTGAATTAGCTTAATCGGCAATTAATTCACCCAGCAAATTCGAATCTTCGTTCCTTTGGATCTTTCTGATAAATATGTACCCCTCGTTGACAATGGAAACAACGGAAATGTGTCCATTGTCAACGAGGGGTACATAGATCAAAAAAATCAAAAGGAACGATGATTCGAGTTTGCTGGGTGAATTAATTGCCGATTAAGCTAATTCAGGTGAAGCCGTTTTCAAATTGATAATGAGCTATGATGAAAGAGGATTTAGATGCAGAGCTCGGTCTATCCGTCGATACGTATCGCTCCGGGCGAGGAGGTGAACGCGGCGAGCGGTGCACATCGCATGCCTCCTTCATTTTCCACGGCGGTTCTTCCTGCCGAAGAGGTGCGTGCAACGAGAGAGATCCGGATACATACACTGTAAACAAATGTGAAAAATTTCTTAAATAATGTATGCAAAAATTACCTATATATAATTTATAGTGGAAATATATAAAATTATGTGTTCTTACAAAAACTAGGACTTTTACATCTAATCGTGTAAATATACCTTCATGTTAAATGGAAAATTTATAAAATGTATGCATATTTTTGTAACAATATAATATAATGATAATGTAGCATCTCTCTCACACACACACACACACACACACACAATCATATTTACATTTTTATATTTGTACACTTCGATAACATGGCTTAAGAAAAATTGTATGTAATTAATTGACGAATTAATACTTAAATATTTCTATAAACTTAAGAATTCATTAGAATAATTTTTTTTTTTTCAAATTCTTTAGTTACTACAAAGAAGAATAATTTTACTTGTAAGTTGATAGTGGTTTTACTTCAAGTATATCTAAATATACACCTTTGCGATAGTGAACTTTGAAATTATCCGGCCACTGTAATTGCTGTAACTTTTACAATGTATATACGACTATCCGTTACGACAGTCCATTTTTCCTGCGGGGGGGGGGAGGGAGGCGAGCTGGGCAGGGCTCGCATTTCCCGCCGTTGGGAAGAATGGAAGATCAATAATCGTAATCGCCCTTACCGACTTTCGCGCGCGGCAATGGCAGCCACTCATTCGATCTCCTTCCCGACGCTTCTTCTCTCGACGCTTCTCCCACGGCGCGGTGATGTTTCTGCCATCGTTCGATCGGCTTTAGAGATCTCTCTCTTCGTTCGATCTACCTCTCGCTTGCGCTCGCGGCTGTCCGGATCGCACGTCTCTCTCGCTCTCGCATGGCGCGCGCGCGCGGACGGATGTATGTATACACTCATAGCGCTTCTTCCGCCATTGAGGATGCAGCGCTGCAGTCCGCTGTACGCGCCCGCCATTGAGGACGACCGCCATTATAGATTCCGTTGTGTGTGACCGAGTCCGTTGGCCGATTGCGACTTCTCACTCGGAAAAACTCCGTCGCGTTTTCGACGTTATACGCTCCGATCGTGCACTTGCCGCAAATTCGAAAAAGGAGAGCGCGGGACACGGATAGATAGAGCTGGCTGAAGCGTGGGAAGGTGGGAAAAGGGATACTTCGGAGTAGAACAGATAGATCGACGAGAGCGGCACAGCGAACACCCACGGCTGGAAAGGGCGCACGATGAAAACGTACAGCAGGAAAAAGGGTGACAGCCCAAGCAACGTGATCATCCATGTCAACGAGCTATGCCGGCTCTGCCTGGCGAAGGAAGAGGAGATGGTGCCGATTTACGACGATGAGACTGTGCCAATGCCGCTGCGGATACTCTCCTGCGTCAATATCGAGGTGGGTCGAGGTGAGGAGAGGAAAGAAAAAGATACGCGTGAATTCCACGACGCAAATCACCGTCGCGAAAAACGTCGTCGTCGTCACCGTCGTAGTCGTCACCGTTGTCGGCACGATCGATTCGCATCGGGTGATAATAATCAGCGGCCGGAGGAGCCATTCATTGAAAAATAGGAATCTAGTTTATCTCTCTGCGCACGGCGTCCTCTCGCATATTATCTCCCCTCTTTGCCGCGTGTGTGGCGAATACATGACACGCACACATTCACGCGCGGCGCACGGTAACAGCGGTAAGGCTGTTAGCTACGTCACATGCATGTGTACGCGTGCGCGCGCGAATGACGTTGTACGGGCGATCGATGTTGCGCGCGGTCGCGAATTCGCAAGTACCGGCTTTACCGAGTTATCGACGTACTTATGCGACACGATAGATAGCGGTGCGTCTTTTACGCGCGCTACTGCCTCATTACAGAGACCTAGAACCGGCACGGCGGAGGCACTCCTGTTTACTCTACGGATTTATAGAGATCTGTAATGTTAGTACGCGTCGGACGTGTAGCGTCCCGATGTAATTCGCAGCTGAGTTTCTTTGAGAAATCGCAGCTTTTTGAAACGCGCCATCCTCTTCGAATGGCGACTTCTCTCTATGGCACATGAACTCCGAAAGATGCTCGAGCTTTCCGCGTTCTGATCCGAAACGTTCGACTATGTTAGAGAAAGGCAAGATAAATTTTGTTAGATTTTGATTGTTACTAAATTCTTTGAAGTGGAATCTCATGTTAATTATATTGATAAAATATGTACTATATTTTTTAAGTATCAGTTTAGTTCCATCCATTTATCTTATTAAGCTTCAATATAATTAAAGTTGATGAAACTGAAGACCTTGATATCAATATTTTAGGTTTTTGAGCAGGATGGCCTGCCTAACATGATATGTCATCCCTGCAAATATCAGTTGGAGAAATCCTATCAATTCAGAAAAAAATGTCAGGCTGCAGACTCCAAACTTAGAAAGCATATGAAGTTGATACAACAGTTGACTGGACAGGACGAAGAAGGCGAGAATCAGGATAGCAGTAGGGACGAGTCTCAAGAATCCACGGGAAAGTCCAAGCAAGTTAAGCAGCTGCTAGCTGATCTAGTTTCAACGAAAGGCAACAGTGGTCAGACAGATGGAGATCCTATCGAGGTGACAGAGGAGGAACTCGTTGGTGGCTATATCCTGGGTGTGTTACTGACAAGGAGTTTATTTCATTGTATTATAGTCATAATTAGAATTGAAATTTTATTAGAAAAGATTGCTTAATCTTCATTTTAGAAACTTATATTTAAAATTTATTACTCTGGTAGAAAGTAACATTGAGAAATTATTATAAATATTTAGTTCATATATATGTACCGTTTTTAATTGATATGCAGGAATGACTTCTGAAAATCCGGAGATGGAGGAAAATATCTCAGAGGATCCGGAGAACATTACGCTGGTACCTGCTGAGGAACGAATGGCGAAGGCACGCTGTACGATAAGGACATCGCGTATCAAACAAGAGCAGGAGTCCGATGACGAGACGGAAGAGATACAGCGAGGAATAGGAAATGAACACAAGAATGTTTACATGATGGAGGTCACCAGTGACAATCCTAATGAGCCTGATTCATTGAAGTTACAGCCCTTGGGTGATACAATCGGTAAAGAATTCTACAATATTTTATTACAGATATCTTATCTGTAATAAAAGTAAGAAATGACGAGAATACGACAGTTATGTAAAAGGCAAATGTATATTGCAGTTGATGCTAATCCAGAATTGAAGGTGTTTAAATGCGACAAATGCCCGAAAGCGTTCACCCGGAGAATAATGTTGAAGAGTCATCAGTCAGTACATTCTACACAGAGAGGATTTACGTGTCAGGCATGCGAAAAATGGTTTCCGACAAGATCTGCGTTAGTAAGACACGAGCGTACACATACAGGTTGGTATTTGTTGTTTTGTGCATATTAATTATGAATACATACATATAAACTAAATATTTGTAGACATTTTTCTCATTATTATTTCTTCCTAAAGATGTTGATTTCAGCTTATCTGGCTAGCTAGCTCGCTGAAATTGTCTCGGACAATTTGCCTATTAAGAAAAAGATCTGCCATTTCACATTTATGATATTAAAAATTTTAATCACAATCGTAAAAAATCTAACTTCTTTTTGAACAAATTGTTTCTTTTCAATACAAGTCACATAGTATTGGTTTATGAATTAATTCGTTGAAAAATGCATAACTATTAAATTTATTATAGGAATATAACATTAATACAATTAATGTTATCTTTATTTATATTGCAGGTGAGAAACCATTTGGTTGCAACATCTGTCACCGTGCTTTCGCTCAGAAAGAGATTTTGTTCCGGCACTTAATGACACATTCTGGCCAAAAACCGTTTCAATGCCAACATTGCGATAAGAGCTTCACGCAGCGAGAAGCGCTTAAAGTACACATGCGTCGGCATCAGAAATTGAATCCGAATGATATTCAATTGCATCATTGTCAACTTTGTCCAAAAGCGTTTTGTCACGCGTCGGGTCTCAGCAGGCACTTGGTTACGCACACTGGTAGAACGTACAAGTGCGTTGAGTGCGAGAAGACATTTACAGATAAGAGTTCACTGCTAAGACACAGTCGTATCCATGCGCCCAAGAAACTCATAGCAAATTGAGCAATATTTGTTCAGTTTGTTGTGATTTTCCTGGGATCTAGTGGATATGAAAAATTCTTTCAAATTTTTGATCTGTGTCGGAATTAGACCTGCAGTGAATTGTCTATATTAGCGAGAAAAATTTCCAATCTAGATTTTTGAAGAGTTTTTTGTGTTTATTTCATTGAGATGGGCTTAATTGTGTAATCTTATATGTAATTCATACATTTAATGTTAAGGAACATTTAACGTATATTTATTTTGGTCACTTTTGTATAAATATTAGCAAATCTTATTTAAGAAACTTATTTAAGAAACTATGCAAACAATGCATTTGTATGTACACGAAATGGAATCTAAAATGTAAAAATTCAAAAATTCAAAACAAAAAATATTAAAAATTTTAAAAATGCAAGTAAAATATACAAAAAAGTATTGAAACATCTTGATTACTTCATTGCTATTTATACAAGAATGATTAAAATAAACTCAATATTAGTTTTAAGTTCCGAACATTTTTTTATTCAATTGATATTTTTGTATGCATAAAGGAATTATAATTCCGTATCATTTTTTAATACTAAGTGCAATTTGAATGAAGCATATGCAACATAATAAAAACGTCAGCTAAATATAGAATAATAACAACATTGATTGCATTAATATAATTTAGCTTTCCCCTTTTAGGCAGCAATTATATTCTTATATTATAATTTTTATATTCAATATATCATAAATGATTATGTATCATGTATTCTTTCCGATGTAAGTTTATTATTATCTATAATTGATGTATATAGTTCTAAATACAAAGCTATCTTAATGGAATTATTTAAGTGCACATAAATGCTATTCTATTGTGATTATTATCCTTATTACCTGGCTTCCTAAAACCTATTGTATGCTATGTATAGTTATTTATAGGGGGAAATATTTTATTGAATACATTTATTAAGATAGGAAAGGATTCTTTGCCTAAGGATGACCAATGCGGAGTAGTTTATAAAATTAATTGCTTAAACTGTGAATCGTCTTATGTTGGCCAAACCAAAAGGAAATTAAAAACTCGGATTAAAGAACATAAGGCCGATATAAGAAAACCTTCTTCCGAAATTTTTGTGGTTTCACGTCACCGTATGAATGAGATGCATGAATTAGATTGGGATAATATAAGAATTTTAGATATAGAACAATCTTTAGCGAAAAGAAGAATTTCGGAAATGATACATATAAAAAGACAAACAAGTGGTATCAATAAGCAAAGTGACACGGAAGGTTTGCCTGAGGTTTATTTTCCTCTTCTAAAGCATGAGCATTAAAAAATACATTAATGAAAGTACTTCCCATCACTTGAAAAACGCTACGAATTAATTCCAACACCTAATATAAATAGCGGTAAAATATATGATAGAACAAATAACAACACATAATGTCACGACAAAATTCTAACTGTAAAAGAAATACTCGAGATTCATCGTTTAGTTTTTTTGCTGTAAAACAGGTAATGATTCTATTTCTTTATATTCCGACTAGAAGATTTTAATATATACAATTTTATTTAGAATCTGGAAATTCTTGTTCTACACTTTTCTTGATATGACAATTGACGGTGTAACATTACTGTATGAAGCATCTTCACATATAAAAGAACATGTTTATTTAATTACAACTCTCGACTGTTGAAGCTAATGTCAACTAGATGTAACTCTGCGTTTTAAGAATATTATTGAATTACTGAAGATGGCCAGATTGTGGCTGAAATGTTTAATGTTTTAATTAATGTAATAATAATTAAATATCATAAACTATAACTTGTGCTGTGGTTTTTTATGCTCTTATTTTTTATATGTGGAAATATTTTAAAATAAGATAATTACTTGACATATAAAAGGAGAAAAATATTATAAAATCTTATGTACAATAGAAATAAGTTGCACTGACGAGTCTATTGTGTACGCTTTATTTAAATCTATTTTATTGGATACGCTATGGTACTCTACTGTAAAAGTATCGCTATAATGTAACAAAATGTGCGGCAACAGGTGACATACAAGAGCTATTTGATTATTCGGATTATTTTACGTGTTAACATTTCGTTATACTGTAGTGACCGTGCAAATGCATATAAAAATGACTTGCTATATTCGCGAACTATATAGCCAGTCGCAGCGTCTTGTGCGACAGAGCTCATGCCATTTGTCGGGAAAAACATTCACAGAAATGCAATATTAGTGTTAAATGCAAATTATGTGTTGTAAATTCTAGGAAGATCGAGGATAATGTTTATCTATGTAATGGTGCGGTAATACACAAAACGACAAAGAATGCTTTTTATTAAAAAATCCGTTTTATTGTGTTTTTTTTTTTCATGATCTGTGCACTATTACATATTGCCGATATCATTTTCACGCAAATCGCACACATCAATTCTGCCAGAAGATGATTAATATTTTTACAAGGGTTTTTTTAAATTTTTGTCTGCTATTAAAATCCGACAATGTCGGACAATATACCAAAGAATAATGAAAAATTCTACAACAGTTTCGAGCTCCGTCACACGGTCTGTGCTGGACCTCTACCGAGATTAGATTTTCAATTTTGCATCTTTTTATAATATCTGCTGCAATTGTTCTATTTAGTTAAAACAATAGCAAAGGGGGAAATGACCGTATATTCCATGGAGCTATTAAATACATTGCATAGTTACGAATATTCGCGTGTATCTATACTATAAAATGATGTGAAATCTAATTTTATTACGAAGCTATAGACTCTCTAATCTGATGATTTTTAAATACTCTAAGATATTTAATAATGATTCTACTCTAATTGATAATGTATTTAATTATGTTGTAACTATCTTTCGTAAAACTCATGAACGTGACGCGTTCATGATGTGCAACGTCATTTCCTTCTTTGCTACACATACATCAAGGATACATTATCAATTTACACTTCTTTTTCTTCCTCAACGATTAATAATTCTAATGAAGATACGTACACGAAAGATCGATCGTGTCATTAATGAAATAAAATACTTTACATAAATCAATGGTATGTGATTTATGCATTCTGATTAAAAAATTAGCTTTATGTCTATTTTTACCAATGTAAATTAACTTTAACTTACACTGGTAAAAATGAACATTAATCAAGTCGGAGTATCGAACTTTCATGTACGTGCGAGGGACTAATACAGCTAAAAATCTACAAGACCTGCAGTTACATTCCCGAATCTGAAAACACATATCGATATGCGCTTTATACATTTTTTTTAAGATGAAAATTTTTATCTAATACAAGTTTCTTTTTTTCTTACTTATTTGCAAGTAAATAGCATCAGCATGTAATCAGCTGTTACCAGACTGACAAGAAAACACAGGAAGGTATCTATCTCTCCCGATTTTAATCAGCTTTTAATATGTTATAGTCTAGACTAAAATAAGAAACATATATATTTTTATATGCATTTTGAAGGGATGAAACACTGATGAAATCGGCTCTATAAAAAATCAAAAAAATTTTTTGATAAAAGTTGTGTGTGAATGATCTGTAGTATTTTATAACGGTAAATTTTTAACAGTTTTGATATTCGCTTTGAAAAAAATGATCTATCTAAAAAAAAAGCGTTCCATTACATAAAAATGAGTATAATCATGTATAAAAAAAACACGTTTTTATTATAATCATGTATAAAAAAAACACGTCTTTTATTTTAGTCTGAACTATACAAATTAAAATTCGTTAAAATCAGAGGGACACTTCTCTGTGTTTTCTTGTGAATCATTCACATCAGTTTAAGAAAGAAATTTTTGAACATCTAAACATGAAAATGCGCTTTATAATATAGGCTCAGTTCGCTCTTTTCGTAACGCTTTTTTCATAATGCGATGTAATGTATTGGATTGGGTGTAATATACTGGATTATAAACGATATTTGTACTATGCCTGTCGTCACATATATAATGCGGTATTCCATGGCAAAAAAAACTAGAAAGAGAATTGCCCATACTTAGTCCTCTCTATTGCTAAGTATTGGCATAATCGATGGCCTCGATAATGGCTGCGGCACGGAGATCGAAGTATATCGCGGACGAAATTCTTTTCTTTTACTTAAAATGCGATTTTTTTCTCCGAGAAAAAGATAGAGAGGGAGATAGAATTAGAGAATGAGAAACAGATTCTATCAAATACCTAAAACCGAAAAACGCCAAAATCAATTTAAAATCCATCCTCTCATCAATCAAAGACCAGTTTTTTTGGTTGCTCCCATGTAAAACCGTCTCGTCCAAAGTGACCATATGTACTGGTTTGTTGATAAATAGGATTGCGAAGATTCAACTCTCTAAAGAAGATAATATAATTAATTTATCTTCTTAATTTATTATTAATGAATTATCATTATAATACATCATGTAAACAAAATAATATTTATTATTATTATAACAATTTGTAATAAAAGTATTAAAACTTACAAAAAGAAGAGCATTTTATAAGGATTAACTTTATAAATTGACTAGAAGATATTAACGATAATTTAATTTTTAAGAGAACCTGGAAATTCTTGTTCTACATAATTTGCAATATGATAATATTTATATATGATAATTGACGTTGCAATCACGTTTTATGATGTACAAAATGAAAGAATACGTTTATACATATTTATATTGTGGACGGCTGAATTTAATGTCAGATTTATGTCAATTCTGCGTTTTACTGATATTTATTATTTTACTGAAGATGGCCAGATTGTGGCCGAAACGTCTAAAAAAAATTTTTTTTATTAATGTAATGATATAATAAATATCAAACAATATCTTATGCTGTGGTTTTATTCTTTTTGTAAGTTTTGATTTATAATCATATTTGTTATAATTATAAAAGTATTAAAATTACAAGAAAAATTAATTATACATACTTGACGATTTTTCCGGGTCGCAAATCGAAATTCTTGTGCACTATATCTAAGAGCTCGTTTTGTGAACGCGTGGATGTGCCATAATCGAAAACCGTGATAGACAATGGTTCCGCTACTCCAATAGCATAAGAAACCTGACACAAATAATTCCAAATTTTCTATGTAATACAAAGTTATGGAATTTCACATTATAAAAGTTATAGACATTTGTTTAATTTATTGTAATAAAATCTTGATGCTTATAAATTTTTTCTTACTTGTACAAGACATCGTCTGCAAAGACCAGCCTTGACCAAGGATTTGGCAACCCATCTTGCAGCATATGCAGCTGATCTATCCACTTTCGTAAAATCTTTACCAGAAAACGCACCACCACCATGCGCTCCCCAACCGCCATACGTATCTACGATGATCTTTCGACCAGTAAGACCAGCGTCACTCTGAAATTTGTAATAAGAGTGTATCAGAAAGAGAGAACATAACTTATAAAACATAATGCATATTTTTATTTAAGATTGATTAATATTTGCATTGTCATGTAATAATTTAAAATATATACGTTTTATATATAATTGTATATTAATTTTTTAAATTAAAACATTGCAAAATATATATTTGAAGGATTATTCTCAGTTTAATTTTTAATATCATAGCATTCAAAAGTAGCAAATATACAAAATGCATCATCGAATAATCATCTGTCTATAAATTTCATTTTTTGATACTTTAATGATACCTGTGGTCCACCAATAATGAAAAGCCCGCAAGGA